AATACTTTAATTATTTTTTTTACTAATTAATCTCTTAATAAACTAATAAGTTTTGGTATTAGTCTAACCCAATCATCATTTGGGCTGAGGTATTATATTCTCCCCTCCTTATAAAAAGTTTTGTCCTTAAAACTTGATTTACATCCATATCTTATTCTTCCATCTTTGAAATCATTTCTCTTTCCATATAATTGTTTCATTAAACTTTTATAAAAGGCAGCAATTCCATCTCAAAACTTATTCTTTCCAATCAATCATTCAAAAAAGATATTTTCAATATGTTAAAACTTATATCATTTTGAATTTCTAAATACTCATATCCAACCACATGGCTTCTACTAAGATATTCTCTTAACATAGATTCATCATGTACACTAGAAATAAAAGGTAACTGTATTCTTTATTTTGAACTTCTTTCACTTTACTAAGAACTTCAAATGTCCTTACATAAAGCAAACTTAAACTTTTTTACTTATAATCCTCGTAACGAGTATAAATGATTAACCACTTGAAGCTATAAATCATTTCTCTAAATTCTAGTATAATTCTTTTGCTTACTTTAAACCATTGCTTAATCAACCAAAATTTATTAGCCATTTTTTCATGAATTCAAGAAATAAAAGTTTTTCTTCTTTGTCCTTATCCCAATAAGTTTAAGATTTAGATCTACTTCCATACAAAATCTCAAAATGAATCATTGAATATTTGTTTTATGATTATCATTATAAAATATTTCTCTTCAAGTCATCACATAAGCTTTTTTTAAAAGAATGTCAATTAATGATAAAGCCTCAAAAATAAAGGAAACATAAAATATTTTTACTCAAAATCCATTAGTCCTTATTTATTAAAGATTCATTACTTTCTCAACTAACAATAGCATAAAAATTTAGAATTTAAATCAAATTAGGCTTTCATTGAACACTCTGATATTTTCTTCTAGTAAAATTCAAACAAATTAACTTTCATAGCATTATTTCATAACAAAAAAAGAACATATGTCCACAAATTTTCATGTAATTTGCTTTATGTCAGGTATTCATAATCATACACAACTTTAAAGTTGAATAACAATATTAACAAATCCTTTAGTCACAAAAAAAAAAAATCATATAACACTTTAGTTTTCTTTTCTTCTCCATCGACAATATAAAATTTTCTATCAATTAACCATTGGAATACATATGAAATCAATTTAATAGATCATATCCATAAATTTACACTATGTAAATTCAAACATAAATCTTTGGTTATCCAAGTTGTCTCCAATTTCGAATATTGTTCTTTTTTATTTAATAGAGCAATTATCATATAACAATTGATTCTTCATAATCCCCACAAACATCATAATGTCTTAAATTTTCTTTTTACCAAATATATTGCTATCATCTCTGAGTCAAAGTCAAAACCTATGCATCATAATCCATAAGTAAAATTCTCTTATAGAATTTAAACAATAAAAACTTCAAATACTTGAATTCATATTGAAAGTATAGTTATGAACAATAACTAAAAACATCACATTATTTTCAAAAAAATTCTCAAATTTCTCCAAAATCAAATATATACTCAGTATCACCAAGTACACAAAATCATTATTTATAAGATTTCAAACAATCTTTTGCACTTGTAAGATTTCAAACAATCATTTTTAGCCAAAACATATATATTTTTCTATAAATCGATTACTTTTTCAAAACTAACTTCTTTACTAAATCATTTAGATAACCATACCTTTAATTTATATCCACAAATTTAATTCCTTGCTAAGTACACAACCTTGTATCACAATAGACAATGTTCTCCATAAATATAAAATTCAAAAAAATCAAATAGTATACTTTAATTAGAAACTATAACCACAAAATAATCACTTAAGCCTTTAAAAAAAGTACACCTCAAATAAGAATTTAATGATCAAACTTTAAATTAACTATTCAAACGTCCAACTTATATAATCAAACCTTAAATACTTTTTCAATAAAAATATAAAATCAAATCAAGTAAATATCCTTCTTTATGAATATAAAACTATTTACCACAATTATAATATTTCGGACTAAATCCATCAAAATAATTTCTCAAACACTATAATCCATAAATAATTACTTCAAAATTTCAACATATCATTGTATTCCAACTCCAATATTCTATACTTTTAATTCCAACAATATACACTCATATACCACTCTTAATTTATGATTAAGGATTCACTTTACACTTATCAAATACTTCAAAATCTCATTAAGTCAAAGGTCTTTTCTCAAACCCATATGATCTTCAATGATCAAATCATTTTCTTAAGTAATAGTTTAATTCATAAAATATGTCTCATTATAAATTGTTTTGAAAATCTCTTCAACTTATAAAATCACATTATATCAAAGTAATTACACTTTCTTTTAACTACAAGATTTAAAAGCAATATATAAATATCAACAAAAATAATTACTCAATTAATTTATTGAATCATTAATTTCTCAATGTTTATTGAAACTTTAATTACTCTAAAATTCATCGAATCACTTACTTATACTCACGAATATAGTCTATCGATCAAACTATGTCTTTGAAAAATTATCATATTATCCAGAGGTCGTCATCTAAATTCTTAAAAATCTTCACATAATATATAGATCATAACCATGCTCATAGAACATCTCTTTCAATCAATGGATCATAAACTACATTTTTTAAAAATCATTATTAATCTAATTATCATAAAAGTTTTTAAAAAAATTTCTCAAATCATAATATAAGCTCTTTAACCTCTCATATAGTTTAAAGATCATAACTTAGACTCTTAAAAAATCTTCAAGAAACATAACTTAAGCTTTTAAAAAAAATCTAATCATAGTTTAGCTTTTAAAAATTATTCAAAAATCGTAATTTAAGTTATGATACCACTTTATGTCATGTTCTGAGACCACTTTATATCACGTCCTGAGACCAAGATGCAATACGACTATATTACCTTGACTATATTACTTTGAAGTAAACCTTAAAGTAATATGAAGCCTACTTTATTAATTATTTTAAAATTCGTTAATAAATTAATATAGTCTGCCAAGTAAAATTCATATCTTTAATCTAACTAATGATACATCTCCATATATCTAAATACAAACTATATAAAAATACAAAACCGTTTTATAAGATCTCATTGACCAACATTATTTTTGTCGATTAAGTAATTTTTCTCATTTGATCTTCTAGCTTTTCACAAAACTAAGCAAACTTATTACTTACTTATCTGTAAAGAAAAAGTAAAAAGAAAATGAACAGACCATAACTCAGCAAGTATAGGCTCACATACTTTATCGGATCAAGTATCGTTTTTATACATATCATATAAATCATTCAAAATATTCATCAAATCATAATGTTAAAGTATTTTAAAAATTATATTATGTCAAATATTTCGTAGATCATAAATCAATATCAAAACATGTCAATTTATCAATTATGAATCATAAATCATGGTTAAATACATATTTCATATAAATCATGGATCAATCTTTAAAATTATTATAAATCATCATTATCATTCATTTATCATTAGTTACTGTCACTGCTATAACTCGTGACATTAGCCGTATCGATAATTTCATTCTCATGATAATTATTAACTATTATAACTCACTAGCCAAAGCCTTACGTTAACTACTATAACCTGTTAGCAGGGCCGTATAATCATGTCTATGCTAACTACTATAGCCCATTAGCCAAGGTCGTAAAATTAGTTTTGGTGTCGATAATCTCACTTCCTAGGGATGTAAAAACGTAACTATCATAAAATCATTCCTTATACAAAAATCATTTTTCCATTTCATTTATAAGTATGATCCATCATTTATGTAAAAAAAATATAAAATAATCATATGCTTGATCTTATTTTCATACATTGAAAATAATGAAATAAAACATTCATTCATTTATAAACATATATACATATATATACATAGATTTGAAGACAAGTAAAGTGTGTGAGATTCTACTTATCTCTTTTCGATTTCACCACTTAAATTTTTTTTTCAAAATAATTAATGGCCTATTCAAGATAATTTCAACATAATAAAAATTAATCAACCTATTTCGAGGCCAATGATACCAAAAATAATTAAGTTAAACAATGATTAACTCAACTAATTAATACTGATAACTTGAGTTTTTTTCACTAAAACAACCATATCTCAAGATATCCAATTGAAATTAAGATCTCTTTAATACGTTAAAAACTAGACTTGATAAGCTTTCTAATTATATATGGCCCACCTCGTAATTCTTTGTATATTAATTATAATAATTTTTGTAATCCACGTTAAATGCTGCTACTGCCAGTTAGCCTGTATACCTTTTAATAAAAATTACGTATTTGTTCATAGGAAACTCTAAATTCAATTTCGCTTGTTTCGTTGGAAAGTAATCTCAATAAACTTTCCAAACATATATTGTTTAATCTATAAATCTTTGTACAAAAATTAAGAGAAATTTCGTAATTCCTCCTTACTACTGCTAATAGGTAACCTGCATATTCTTAAATAAAAATTAGACAACTCTTTATGAAAAACTCGGATTCAACTTTCATTTATTTCATTAAAAAGTAGATTCAACATGATTTCCAATAATATATAGTGATCATAGCAATAACCTATCAATTAATACAAAATTCTATTTTTATTCACTATTGCAAATCATAACATCTTATCTAAAAATAAAATTTCTCTTTCAATCATAATTTTTTTAGTTTTTTCTCAAAACTTTAATTCCAAATAATAACAACCAACATTATATATCTCTTAAATAAAAAGATAACATATGCTCAACTTTAGGATATTAACTCGATTGTAGTCTCCGATTTTAAATCTTGTACTTAATTTTTCATACTCTCTAACCCTAAGAAAGATGAGGAAGTAAAACTCAATTTTCTTTCTATTTCACGATAACTAGATTTTTTTTCATCTAAAAATTCAATAATTTTTTTTTACTAATTAATATCTTAATAAACTTATGAACTTTAATATTAATCTAACCCCATTATCATTTGGGTTGAGGTACTACAAAAACAGCTTTGGCAATTGAAAAACTATGATAAAGTCAACAGGTTACTTGCCACGTGCTGAGACAATAAGACATCGCAACCATCCAAGCAGACGATGTCTGCTGATGTGTGGCTTGCTAAACCTGTCTTACATTCCTCCATGTTAAAGAACACCTCGTCTCCATGACTAGAAAAATTTTGGTTCAAGGTAATTAATGGATGTTCTTGTTCCTTTTCTTCCCCTTATTTCTGCCTCTTTTGCTAGGTGGCTTAGATCTTTGTGTACCAACTTTCTTGAATGGTTTACTTTTCCTCACAGGTAAGTTGTGTTTTCTATCAACTCCAACTGATCTGAGCATTGCCATATGCATCTTTTTGCTAGTAAAGTCTTCTTCTTACCCGCGAGAAATATCACTAGTTGTCACAGTGACAGTAATGTTGCCACTATCATACATTGTTGTCCCTTCCACCAGTAAACAAAACCCAACCACATAAGAAGAAATAAAACAGGAGGTTCAGGCCAGCGTCGTAAAGAAAAGCCACAGTGCAATATGAACAATAAAAGACTTGTAAATCATTTTTCTCAATGAAGCATTATAGTAACTTGTAAATCCATCAGCTTGTATGATTAGAAAAATATGAGAAATTGATGCAGTTGGCTCTCTTTCTTCATCCTGCTCATTGTTCTCATCACTTTCATCAGATCCTGAGACTGTGCTGGCTGGTACTCCCCCATATAAGGCAAATTCTTTTTCTAACTTTCTCTGAAGAATTCATCAACCAAAAGAAGTAACTTAAGATTGTTTTCAAGCTAGATGAGAAAGCCAAATATTAACATATAAGTAGCAGTGTATGTGCAATAAACAAAAAAGACAAAGTTAAATGAAAAAAAAATTAAAATGAGTGACAACCGAGGAAGATCAACATGACCTCCAAGAAAAACAAGAATCTACTAGGATATAATTAGCACATTAGCACACATATGAACTCGCAGTGGTATCTCCCAATTCATTATATAATCTCATTGCATTTTGAACACGTGTCAGCAACTGAAAAGTTTCCTGCTGTCAAATACCCTTGATTGCCCAGGAAAGTGAACATATGTCAGAATGAATTAGAAGCACAACATTCCCCATTCAACATGCTTGTTATTTGAATCTAATTAGCAGATGAATGGTAATAATCCTTTCAAACTGGCTCCTGGGGCGAAGGCCAACTTAGTAACTAATCCCATAAAGTTTATATTGCAATGCCTCGGATAAGTACTTTATATTTGTAAATATAGGGCAACTGAGAAAAGCAATGAACTTATTTCCTTTAGTTCCATGGATAAATTTACAGTAATAATTACAAGCAATGCTTCAACAGCCATAATTATTCAAATTTAACACAATAACCAAGGCAAAAAGAGTAAATTTAACAATAATAGTCGCAGTTTGAAGACATTTGAATCGAAATAAGCGGAATTGTACCAAAAAAGTTAAACAAAATTGAATCTTTAAAAAAAAGGATGAACCTTTTTGCGCTGTTCAATACGCTTGTGGCGTTCAGCCTCCTCTTGCTCCTTCTGGGCTTCCTTTCTTCGCTTCTTCTTCCTCTTGTGGAACCCAGTCACGTAATCCCTTATCACCGATTATCAATACGAAGCAAAGCCAAAGGTTCGCTTTTTTCTTCAAAAAGAAAATGAAAAAACTATCTACGATGAAAATAAAGCACGGACTGCGCCTGTGCTTTGGTACCTTAGATCCTTCTCGTTGAAAGAAACGAAGAGGGCTTTGCTCTTGAGGGCTCTCTTCTTTATGTCGCGGCCTCGGGGATTTGACAGCTGCTCCAGTGCTTCCTATTCGTACTCTTCTTCCAATGCAGCGAACAGATAGCTCTCGACTTTAGGAGGGCTCCACCAACCGATGTTTTGCATAAGAAAAAACAAAAAAAAAAGAAGATTAACTTTGGATTGAAGTAATTTTTGGCTTACTAATACAGTCCAGTACATCCTTCGAGACAGGCCCTTGGTGTTTTGTCTTTGAACCCAAAAAGTTGACGTCACTTCGGCCTTTGGATATGGGCTTCCCGCATTCTGACAGCATTTGTACGGCCATGTCATTTGTACAGGAACTGGGATTTTCCTACTTTCGTTCAACAGGACTCTCACTGTTCATGTTCTAGCTTTGACCCTACTCTTCTTCGACGACCTGATCAGTCACTGTTAGATACCACACATAGACAAATGCTCTTCCAACATAGTGAACTTCAACATTATAGCCACATGCTTGCTGAAAACATATAAAGTACAAAACTACTATACCCCGGTCTGAGTATCCACGTTCACTAGTGTACATAATAAGGTAATTATTGGGTCATTTAGTGGTCAAGGGTATAATGATTTTTTTTTATGTAAGAAATTTTTAATAAATAATTAAAAGTAATTTTGATATTTATGTGACATCAATTTAGTAGTATTTTTATTGTTTTTTAATAATTTTTTATCATTTATTTATAAATATAAAGATTTAAGCATCATTAAAATAAATTCAATTTATTTTTATTTATTTATAATTTATTTATTATACTTATTTTGATTTACATATTAAAATGCAAACATAAAAAATATTATCTGTTTTTGCTTTTAATCATCAATTTTTTATTTTTTTAAAAATACTTTGAGATCAAAATTCGATACAAGTAATAATATTGTCCTGTACTGAAATTTTGCATTCGCGCACTCTTTTTTTACGGTTCTGCTGTCCATCATCGACCACTACATTGCAAGGGTGTTTGGTTTTCTCCCAGGAAAGAGACAACAAGGAAAGCAACATTGTTAGATGTGGTCCAGATTCAAATGTTTGCCTTATGCCTTATAGTATTCGTCGCAAACCAAAATATCTTAAATCTGTTCTTGTCCTCTCTCCTCCACTTCATTTATCTTCACCGCTGATGTTCCAGAGTTTTCCCTTTAGCTTCCATAAATATATATCCTGAAATATTCAAGTTTTTGACAAAAAAAAAAAAAACAGTTTACAACTGTTCGTCGGAAATAATATATTCTGTTTCCTTGAGGAAAAATATCCCTTGAAGCTAGAAAACAAAACTAGTTTGAGCACCAATTGTCAAAGACTACTACCCTATAATTCTATAGTTTTTATTTTTTCTCTATCCCCATTGAAGATAGGTTTTGAAATTAGAGGCCGTATTGAATCAATTCAAAGAATCCCCAATACCTGTTCATTGCTATTGGCCAAAAAAAAAATTCCAGTTCATTGCTCTGTTTGGCAAGCAAACATCTTACAATTCCATATTTGATTACCAAATTGAGAACTTGGACTTTAATCTTATAAAGTTTTCATTTTTATAATATTTAATTTTACTGTCATCTGTTCTCAACCCAAAGTTCAAGAAAGGTTTTTCTTGTGAATATATACAAGAATGATGTAAATCATTAAAAAAAATGGTATTTTGGAGTAATATTAGAAAAAAAAAAAAAGGAATAAAAGCAAAAGTACCTTACGTGAAAATGCATGACCAAAGTACAAAACAAGAGTTGAACAAAGTACTTATTTATTACTATAAAAACGCATTTATATTCTTTTTATTTTTGGGTTGATTATATGTCTCTCTGCTCTCACTTAAATTTTGGCCCTTTCTCTCTCTAAGGCCCCTACCTTTAACCCCATTCTTTCTCTCTTATTCATCAGGATTGTGCAGATCAGCCTCAACCAATCTTTTTTTGCTGTTTTTATAGTTTTCTTCGTTGGTTGTTTTTCATGAAGAGAAAAAGCTTAGAATTTACGTATGGGTTTTTTGAAGTTTTGAAAAAAGAAAGCAATAATAGGATGACGTCGACTTCGGGGGCGGCTTCGGCTTCTAAGATTTGCTTCAATTCGGACTGTAATCACTTGAAATCGGAAAGACCGACGAAAGGGTGGCGGTTGCGAACGGGAGAGTTGGCTGAGCTCTGTGACCGATGCGCGTGAGTTTCACTTCTCTGTTGACTTAGCCGCTTTCTTTTTTTGTTTATTTTGTTTGTTTTATTTAGTTTGAAATTAAGTTTAGTTGCCGAAATGTTGTCCTTTTAGGGTTATCCCAGAGGTTAATTTGGGAAATTTGTTCACTTGAATTAAATGTTCAAAATACTTTACTAAAAATCAATAACTTTTTTTTTTTAATAAATGCGGAATCTTTAAAGTGAATTATTTCATTATTTATTGCCATGTTATAATCTGAATTAAGCTGTTTGTCACTTAGTTCTGCTTTTGAGGAGAGAAGATTTTGTGATGTGTTTCACTTGAATGCTTCGGGTTGGAGGAACTGTGAGTCATGTGGGAAGGTTAGTAGAAACATTTATTAAAGTTGATTTACTTTCTATAATTTGGTGCTATGATATAGAGTGTGTGCTTTGATCTTCCCTAGTTTTAGTTTTGGATTCTTTTTAGTGAGTTTACCTCTGTTTACAATGGTTCTTTCTCCGCAGCGGGTACATTGCGGATGCATTGTTTCAGTTCATGAATTTACTCTGTTGGATGCTGGAGGAATAGAATGCATAGCATGTGCGAGGAAAAATGTTGTTTTGGTGAGCATGGATGATTTACTATGTTATTCTGATGTGTCTCTTCCTGTATCTGTTTTTAGACTTTAGATTGGAAATGTTACTTTTAAGAATAGGGGCATAATCTGCCATTGTTTGTTACTTTGTGATCATGTATGAACAAAAGACATCCTTTTTCTAGCAGATGTTCTCTTACCTTTGAGTTGAGGTTTTCTGCGGCTTCAACCATATTTCCTAGTCAATAGTATTCCTTGGCTGTGGAATATGTTATAAACCTTGTTATTTCACTTTTCATCTCAGGGGTCAAATACTTCGTGGCCACCTTCTTTGCTCTTCCACTCGTCTTTGTCTGAGAGATTTAAAGACTATTCTGCAAAAGGTTGGAGTCAGCTAGGTGGTTCAGGTCCTGTACCTTGGCGGCAAGCCCCCATTTTGTTCAATTCTTTGACTCCTCAGCCTGAGTTGCATTCTAGAGTGCCCTATGAAGTTGACTTATACACTGGCATGGACAGACTAAACGTCTCCAACAGATTATCTACTCCTTACCTGGAAATGAAGAAAATCGACGACTTTTCTGAAAGTTTAATGAATGGAACCCTGAAGCTTGGTGCACATGATATACATGAGAATGGAGATGCAGGTTCAGAAAAATTTTCCCTGTATCAATCATGGTAGTCTTAGGAAACATATACCTGGGAACATTAATGCCTGTGTATGTAAGATGTGGATGTCTACACTGATGCTTGGACACACATTTTGTTCTGCAAAAATTGTCTGTAAAAACAACTTATTGATGCCTGCTGAACCTCTTGTGAACTACTTGTTGTCCAGGAATCCATTGTGAGGAGCGGCATAGTTCTTGTTTAACTAAATCTCAGCAGCCTTCTCTGAAGGAGTCTAATCCATCATTTGTGTTGGCTGTACCTTATACATCTCCAGATGAAGCAAATGGTCAAATTGGGGTTTCCAGCACTCATTTGCAACCAAACCCCCAATCTTCACTGGTCAAGCAATTTCCTAGTAATCTACATAATAGGCTTGACTCATCAGGTGAAACTCAGGTTCGTGATGGGAGGCCTCGACCCGATGGCCGTGGAAGGAATCAATTATTTCCTCGTTATTGGCCTAGGTTTACAGAGCAAGACCTGCAGCAAATACCTGGAGAGTATCCTTTGATTTTATAAGGCATTCTTGATAATTTGTAATTGCATTGAACATACAAGGTCATTTACTCATAATAATTGATTTTGCAAAGTTAATTAACTTTTAAAAACAAGCTTTGTTCTTGCATGAGAGTCTTTTATTCTATATTAATTTTGGGGAAATAAGCCTCCACTAACAATTCTGAAAAGTTGGATTATTGTCTAAAAGATTTTTTAATCGCATAACTGTTAGTACCTATATGTCAGTTAAATCCATTCTTTAATTACATTGTGTTATGGTTATACTTAACCATATTTAAGTTCAAATTCTGTAATCACTCCTTTGTTTGAGAAAATGTTGAGTGCTAGTGATACTGGGCGAATCGGACGTCTAGTGCTGCCAAAAAAATGTGCAGAGGTGAGTCATTGCTCTTACCTACTTAAGAGTTTTTAATTTGATCAGCATTTGTTGTTTTCATAGCTCTGCAATAAAAATCTACAGATTGATGGTCATAAAAAGCTTGGCAGTAAAAAGTTTTTGCTTACATCAATTCTCTAGTTTGTTATTTTGTGGCAAGGTAGCAGGTTTTGACTTTATGCATGTTTGGTCTCACTTCGCATCCTTCATTTTTTTTTACTGGATGCTTTCATCTGGTTTTGTACTGTCAGTAATTTAATGATTCTTTTGTTGAGGTTAAATATAAGCCTGTGTTTGGTGTCGTGCACCTTAGTTGCTCATCAATTGTTACCTAGATTAATCTCACATACTAATTTGCACTCATCATGAGACAGGCCTATTTCCCACCAATATCTCAGCCAGAAGGTTTACCTCTTGAAGTCCAGGATTCAAAAGGAAAGGAATGGATATTTCAGTTCCGCTTCTGGCCGAACAATAATAGCAGAATGTACGTTTTAGAGGGGGTTACTCCTTGCATACAGAATATGCAATTGCAAGCGGGTGATGTAGGTAACAAATTGACATCACTGGAATACAATGATTTAGAGATTTCAATGTTTTGTGCTATGAGGCCCAAAGTCTGCCATGTTCAAGTTATAGCTTAATCTATGCCTCTCCTCTGTCAGTTTTATTCTTTAGAATTTTTCTGGTTTCTTTTAATTGCTCCTTGGATTTACCAGTTCATATATATGTTAATGACAGGGTCTAAATGTGTTGCCTATTGCCCTATTCATTTTTGGTTGTCCAGCAATTGTGTGTTTCTCACCCTTGTGCATATGCTTTGTTTCCTGTGATGCATCATGATTTGAGACTTCTGTTTTGAAACTGATGGTTATGCTGTTTCCTCAGTAACATTTAGTCGGTTAGAGCCTGGAGGGAAGTTGGTCATGGGTTTCAGAAAGGCTTCAACTGCTTCAGCATCTGAGCAGGTTGGGCTTGCACAATAATTTAGTACCTTATATTCTGATTGTGCATCTGTATGCTCTAGAGCTAAGATAACATACAATACAACTGGTTCATATAAAGGCTTTTGTTCCCCTTCTTCTTAGGGTCATCTGTAAAGAAAAAATAAAAAGGGAATGAGCAAACAACAGCTCAGTAAGTATAGGTTCACACACCTTACCAGATCAAGCATCATTTTTTTACACATCATATAGATCATTCAAAACATTCATCAAATCATAATATCGAAATATTTCAAAATCATCGTTTTGTCAAATATTTCATAAATTCATAACTCAATGTCAAAATATGTCATTTCATAAATCATTGCAAAATATGCAATCATTCAAATATCATAATCAAACCAAATCATGGATCAATCATTAAAAATCATCGTAAATCATCATTATCATAAATCATCATTATCAATCAAATCGATATCATTCAAATCGTTAGCTACGGTCACTGTTATAACCCGTGACATTGGCCGTATCGACAATTTCATTCTCATGATCATTGTTAACTATTATAACCCGTTAGCCAGGGTCGTAGAACTAAGTTCTGGTGTCGATGATCCCACTTCCCAGGGATATAAAAACGTAGCTATCATAAAATCATTCTTTAAACATAAATCATTTTCTCATTTCATTCATAAGCGTGATCCAACATTTATATAGAAAAACACAAAATAATCATATGCTTGATCCTATTTTCATACACGGAAAATAATGAAATAAAACATTCTTTCATTTAGAAACATATATATATACATAGATTCAAAAACAAGCAAAGTGTGTGAGATTCTACTTACCTCCATTCGATTCCACCACTTAATTTTCCCTCAAAATAATTAATAGCCTATCCAAGATCATTTCAACAGATCAGAATTTAATCAACCTTTTTTGAGACCATGTATACAAAAATCAACTAAGTTACACAAGGGTTAACTTAACTAATTAATATTGGCAGCCTGACCTCTTTTCATTAAAACAGTCATATCTCAATATATCCAAATCGAAATTATGATCTCTTTAATGTGTTAGAAACTAGACTTGATAAGCTTTCTAACCATATATGGCAAACCTCGTAATTCCTTGTAGATTAATTATAACAAATTTTGAAATCCACGTCATATACTGCTGCCAAATAGCCTGTATACCTTCTAATGAAAATTATATATTTATTCACAGGAAACTCCAAATTCAATTCCGCTTATTTCATTGGAAAGTAGACTCAATAAGCTTTCCAAACATATATGGCTTAATCTGTAAATCCTTGTATACAAATTAAGAAAAATTTCGTAATCTGTTGTCTTACAACCTGCATATCCTTAAGTTAAAATTAGACAACTCTTCATAGAAAACTCGGATTTGACTTTCGTTTGTTTCATTAGAAACTAGATTCAACATGCTTTCCAATGATATATAATAATCACAACAATAATCTATCCATTAATACAAAATTCTATTTTAATTCATTATTACAGATCACAACATCTCATCCAAAAACAGAATTTCTCCTTCAATCTTTAAAAACTCAAATCCTTACTTTCAGCCTTTAAACTCCATTCAATAATCATCAATAAATCTTAAGAACATGAAATAAACAAAGCCCAGTAATTTATCCAAATAGATCATCAAGATTAATGAAGGATTTCATGATTTTTCTTGATTTTTCTCTCAAAACTTCAACTCCAAATAATAGCAATCAACTTGATATTTCTTTCAAATAAAAAGAGGGCATGTACTCACCTTTAAGGGATTAACTTGATTGTAGCCTCTGATTGTGAATCTCCAACTTGATTTTTCATATTCTCTAACCCTAAGGAAGATGAGGAAGAAGAACTCTATTTCCTTTCTGTTTCACAATAGTTAGGTTTTTTTCATGTAATACTTTAGCCCTTTTTCTTTTACTAAATAATGTCTTAATAAACTGATGGGCTTTAGTATTAGTCTAGCCCAATTATTATTTGGGCTGGGGTATTACAATCATGGTAAAACATATTCATTGGTTATGATAAATGTTTTTCTTTCCATAAGTTATATTTGATTGTTTTTAAATTTAGTTTTTGTGTAGCCTCCGTTGACTCAACAGATTCAAATAGCAATTTACATACATTTATATGTGTTTTCATTGGCAGGACAATGAAGCCAAAAATAGTAGTGGAGTTTCTACACATGGAGATGTTAGTGTCTCAAAACCTAAAACTGGTGATATTACTTAACTATTAATTATTTTAGAGATTACTCAGATTCACATAGGTTTTCTACAAATCAACCAGGCTAAAGTGGCAGATCCTTCCTCATGGTCAAAAGTGGATAAGTCAGGATGCATAGCAAAGGAAGCATTAGGAACCAAACTAGCAGTTTCCAGAAAGAGGAAGGATGGCACGCTTGGTTCAAAGGGCAAGCACCTAAGAATTGATAATGAAGACCTCATTGTGCTGAAACTAACATGGGAAGAAGCTCAAGGGCTACTCTGTCCCCCTCCTAATCATGTAGCCGGTGTTGTAGTGATTGAAGGTTTTGAGTTTGAAGAATATGAGGTATGGGATTTCTTTATTTAATCTGTTTCTCTTTTTCGCTACTTGTAATATCTGTTGTGATTGAAATCACTTTTGATTGTAAGTGGCAGCAATGGAAGCCAGTTATATTTCGTCATTGTGGTATTTGTTTCTCATTTATTGGCAAAGTAAACTCCTGTAACATGTATATCTAAGAATTTCTATGATTGATACACCTTGACGAAGCCATATAGGGTTGCTCAAGAACCTTTATATTGTTAGTTTTTTATGGATGCTACCGCAGATCCAGAATAATTAGATGCAAGAACATATTCATTCTCTCATTCTAGCCTTTTTCAGTTTTTTATTTTCTTAAAGATGTAATCCCTTTTTGTCACTGACTGTTCATTTTTCTTTTGCTAGAATGTGATGGTGTTTATTGTTTACTAATTAAGTCAATTTATTACTTTTGGGTTGCCTATTAGTAGTATTTTGATACATTATATATTCCACAAATTGTATCCCTTTCTAGGGGATTCTCTCTTTCTTTTCCGTAATTGTTCCAGAATTTCTCAATTTTGTTGTATTTGTTAATAACAGGATGCACCAGTTCTTGGGAAGCCAACATTATTAGCAACTGATAATTTGGGGTAAATCACTTTCTTTTGGATGTCCAAGCTTTATATTAAAGAAAAATTGATTAACTTAGTACATGACTGTGATTTGGTTAATTTTGTGGTTTTGTTGAAATCTCTATAATTCCTGTATAATATTGAAATATTCTATTGTACTTACAGTATGGTTGACACCTTGGTGGGTTTATTCAAATATTTTGTGAAATCATAATGAAAATAAAGTCCAAAGATTACTCACTTTGTTGGCCATTTAGGAAGCTAGAGTTGTTGTAAACCAAGCAAATACCAATGTCTGTTTCTTTTGTGTCAGGGAAAATATTCAGTGGGCTCAATGCGAAGATTGTTTTAAGTGGCGTAGATTGCCTTCCAATGTTCTTCTTCCTTCCAAGTGGACATGTTCCAGTAACTCATGGGATCCAGAAAAGTAAGCACTCATTCGAGTGTTTTTCTCTATTTTGCCAATGCCGTCTTTTGCTAGGATGCTCAAATAATGCTAAATACGGTCATACATTTCATTTCTAGGCAACATGTAAATGTGCTGTTTAACTTTCTCAACCAAATCAATTTAATGCCCTACCTGCCAGAAAAGAGAAATAAAAGGAAAAAGGACCCTGGAAAAAAAAAAGTGAAAAGCACTAAAATTAGTTTTTGTGTGGGCATTGCTTGACTGCGTTTTTTATCTACCATGCTGGCAGATCTTTTTGTTCAGCCAGTCAAGAATTGACAACAGAACAGCTGGAAAATCTGCTGCCACACTGTAATCCAGGTATTTGTTGCTTGAAGAAAACAAATACTACTTACATTTTGTATGACTGAACTGGAGCAAAGTATGAATGAATTTGATTTCTTGATTATGTTTGTTGTGTAAAATGCTGATTCTTGTTGTTCATTTCCCATTGTGAGATTAGCAAATTGGTCTTGTGATTGTGATTGACAGCTGCTTTTAACAAAATGAAGGCGCCTAAACAGGGACCAGAAAATGTAGATGCTTTAGCGGGGTTGGATGCTCTTGCCAACCTAGCTATCTTGGGAGAGGGTAAGGCTCTCCCTGCTTCATCTCAGGCCACAACAAAGCACCCCCGGCATAGACCTGGTTGCTCATGTATTGTATGCATTCAGCCCCCAAGTGGGAAGGGCCCCAAACACAAGGAGACATGTACTTGTAATGTCTGCCAATCAGTGAAGAGACGCTTCCGCACCCTCATGCTGCAGCGTGAGAAGAAACAGTCACAAAAAGAAGAAGAAACCACGCGCAAGAAGCAGCAACTTTCATTGCATGATAAAGTATTGGATGATGACCCTCTCCCCTGTACTAATGCAGGATATGGCAGTCCAAACCCAAAAAAAGTTACCACTGAGGGTTCAGATGATGATCCTAACAGAGTAAAATCCTCAACTTCAACTTTTAAAGGTCAAATTGACTTGAATATCCAGCCAGAGCGAGAAGAGGAGCTATCACCTGGTTCAGATTCTGGCATTACGATGAGATTGCTTCAAGATGCCACTGAGAGGTACCTTAGGCAGCAATGTATATTGAGCTCTAGCGGCAATAGTAATTCAGAAGTTACTCAGACACAACCTCGTGGAGGCACAGAAGGAGAAAAGATCACCACCAGTGTCAACCTTGGAGCCAGTAATCAACATGCTGACAGGGACCATCCTGCAGTTTTCTCTATTAAAACATCTGCACCCACATCAGCCACTAGGTAGATCAACGTACCATATGTTACATTGACCATTAACAAATAATCACTATCTTGTTGAGGGCGGTACAGTTTTGGTTACACGTATATCCACATCGGCATTGTTCTTCACGGCTATCCAGTTTGGGTGATTGGTTTTTTTACTGTCATCCTCTCGACACTAATGTGAGAGGATGCCCAACCACTGAAAAAAAAATGGGGAGGGGGTTTAATGATGCAAATATAACCCATTGGGGTAGAGGTTGAAGCTATGTTAGTTCATGTTAGGAGCTCACCTGCTACACTTGGAGAAGAATCGAGGATGTAAATTAAGTGCCTGCTTTTCCAGTCAGTAAAAGAGAAATTGCATTCTGTTGATTTTATATTGTTTTATTGCCTTGCGTGTGATATTTCATCTAGTCAGATCGAAGAGCGTGCACAAGGGTAATGGAGTATAATCTTCAAACCTGTCCTAGACTGACTGGTAAACTGAAAATCATGTGATTTTTTCATCAAAAAGAAAAATTGTGATTTTCGTTTTCAAAAAGAATTCTATACACTGGAGCCATTGTTTAAGTAGGTTGTGCAGAGAAATGAAAGAAAAAAATCCATCGTATCAACTAGTTTCTGACATGTTTTAAGGGGTTTGAACTATGCCAAGTGACAAGACATAAGCTGCTACTTTGCTGGGGTCAAATTTAAGGATTCCAAATCAGCATTAAGAGGATTAGATTCAAGGTCTAAACCTGGATGGATTAAAAATTGGCGACTTGGAGATGGAATAGATAGAAATGGACGTGATGAATAGATTGAACACGGGCATTTTGCTGCTTAAGAGGATTGTGATGGATTCATGGATAAAAAAGGATGACCAGGTCAACCAAGCTATCTTGGTATCCACTGAAAAGAGAAGTGCCATGGATTGTTCTCAAACTAATTGAATGGTCTGCCTTTTTTTAGATTAGCTATTCTCAAATAACCTTGTGCCTCTAATACCTTCTTTCTTGCCAAAAATAAGAGAAATTAGCCTGTTCCTGGATTGATGACAGTTTTCCTTTTGTCACCTCCTCCCTCGCTTGCCGATTGCAGTTGATGAAGAGAAAGACAAAGCCCCATGTTTCCCTGAAATTCCAAATGCAGTAAGAAAGACATTACAGATTAATATTAGACTAGTTCAAACACAGCTTCATCAATCCTTCGGGGTAAACTTCATAAATATTTACCCAAAAAAATAAGTAGCCATTTCAAGAAGGAATAATTTGTAAAGTTCTGTCAAGATGAATGATTTGATCTCAAGTTCGTTCAAGAAATATACAGAACTGAAGCACCAAGCCTACCTGGACGACGTGGAAGCTGGAAATGAGAGCGTTAATCTGGATAAATTCTTTGAAGATGTTGAGAATGTAAAGGAAGACATGAAAAATGTGGAACGCTTGTACAAGGGATTACAAGAAGCCAATGAAGAAAGCAAAACTGTTCACAATGCAAAGACCATGAAACAACTACGTGCCCGAATGGACACCGATGTTGAGCAGGTGCTTAAAAGAGTCAAAATCATCAAGGGAAAGCTTGAAGGTTTAGAACGCTCCAATGCAGCTAGTCGAAACGTTCCAGGTTGTGGTCCTGGATCATCTGCAGATAGAACCAGAACCTCAGTGGTTAGTGGTTTGGGAAAGAAGCTGAAAGACTTGATGGATGATTTTCAAGGATTGAGATCAAGAATGCAATCAGAATATAAAGAAACAGTGGAACGCAGGTATTTTACGATCACGGGGCAGAAGGCTGATGAAGACACAATTGAGAATTTGATATCAAGTGGTGAGAGCGAAAGCTTTCTGCAAAGGGCCATTCAGGAACAAGGAAGAGGTCAGATTATGGATACCATATCAGAAATTCAAGAAAGACATGATGCTGTTAAGGAGATAGAGAAGAATTTGATTGAACTCCATCAGATATTTCTGGACATGGCTGCCCTTGTGGAAGCTCAGGGTCACCAACTCAACGACATTGAAAGTCATGTCGCTTATGCTAGTTCCTTTGTAAGACGAGGTACCGATCACCTTCAGGAGGCTAGGGAATATCAGAAGGACTCGAGGAAGTGGACATGTATAGCAATAGTTGCTGGTGCTGTCCTCGTTATAGTCCTCCTCTTACCACTGTTACCAACAATTATAAATCTATTGTAGGAAGAGGGGAAAATCCCTCTTGAGATGTATTCTGATTTTCAGCCTAACAAAATTCAGTTTAGATCGTACATATAGCAAGTTTCTCAGAAACTATTGTTTTTTTTTTTCACGTGAGAAAGCAGTGTCCTAGTCCTAGACGAGTTCTATCACAAAAATAGCACAATTGGGAATGACAGTTGAGGAAATTCCTTCACCATTGAGCATTCTTGATTCTTCTATCCCATCAAGGGTTCCAAAAGGAGAGCTAGTTTGTGTCAACAACGTTGGCTGAATGACATATTCAGATGTTAAGTTGACCTCGTTCAAAACAGCTGTTTGACATCCCTTTTTTATCAAATTTCACTGTTTTGCTCATTCGTATATGAAAAAGAATGCCTGACCTTGAATGGTATTATACTGGATTTCAAAACTTTCTGATATATTGGATAAACTATTAACATACAAGACAACAATCACTCGCGCATAATGAAAAATAAACTACCATGGCAAAAACAATAGGCTTACAGAACCAAATCAAAGCACAAATTCATTCTCACAGAATGATACCATAAACAATCTCTCCATAATCGGCACATAATAACATCTTGAGCTTAAAAAATCCAATAATTCCCAAAATGTATACACTGTTACCAACTTAAAAATCCATTGCAGAATTCACCGGGAACCCACAAGTTTGCAGCAACAAACACAAATAACGTATATTGGATTGCTTCATGTGCCAGCATTAGGCAAAGCTGCCATAAATGAATTGTATGAAGATTCCAAGTCAAAGTGGAGCTGCCTAGCTTGCTGCTCTGTTAACTCATCTGCCGCCCCCATCTTCGACAATCTTGAAATCCATTCCTTCATTTTTGTCTTCCCCTCGAAATCAGGTGGCAAAATACCAAGCTTATTAAGTGATGCTGAGAGGTCAGACAACAAAGGATGCACTTGATCAACTGCCACCATGTTGAGTTTCAATGAATCCATGGCAGTAATAAAATTCTGCACACATTCAGCCACAATGGCAGCTGAGGTAGTAGCAGAGGCAGCAGCAGCAGCCCGGTGCTCCACAGTAGCAGGCACCCCAGAGGTCACCAGACGATTTATAGCAGCCGGGCAATCCATTTTATATGTATCTGCAAACCGTTCAATGCTAGGGACTGTGTCTTTGAGTGTAGAAGCTAAGGTTTTGAAATGCGCAATAAGCTTTTGGCACTCAGTTTCATATTCAGATGATGAAATAATATCCCTCACATAAGCCTTCTCAAGCTTCTCTGTTGCTTTGATAATGGCGTACAGATCTGCAAAATTCTCATACATTTCTCTCTCCCGCTTGTCGTTCCATAGCTTAACCTCCATTTAGGCAAGACTTGGTTATTATATTGAATAAACGGGTCAACTTGGGATCAAATAAAAAGGGGTTTTGTGTTTGACTATGGAGGATTGGAGAAGAGATCGGGACACGCGCAAAGAGAACCAGCCTTTTATTCACTGCCAAACAATTGATTCAACAAAAAAAAAAAAAAATTTCAGATTGCTATCCGTACATCATTAATAAAGATTCTATTTTTCGTCATACCACATGAATCCAACCTAATTGAAATCATTATAGAAAAAGGAAATGAAAGATACCCAGAAAGAAAAACATGAACTTTATGATTTGTTCATCATCAAACACGAAAAATATCAAAATTTTAACATTATTCTTATACCCAGAAAGAAAAACATGAACTTTATGATTTCTTCATCATCAAAAACGAAAAATATAGAAACTTTATCATTATCCTTTAGTTCTACCTGATTTCTTAAGCAACCAACAAAGCAACTACGCTAACAGCACAAGAAAGATATGATCAAGAACGAAAACTGAAAGAACCCAAGAGAGCTTCTTACCTTAGCTCATTCCAAAGTCATAAAAAATTCTATTATGTTGACAGTGCAAATTATAGGAAAAAGAACGAAATAAGAAAGTTTATTCGTAAAAAAAAACAAATAAAATATAATAATGACTTACGATTGCAAGAGAAGTGAAACGCGGCTTTGAATGTCGTGCAGTGGGTGTGGTGTTGTTTGCAGCAGAAGAGAAACGGAGGGATTGCGTGTGGGATGGAACAAATGATTAGGTGCTTACGGCATCTACGTGTAGCGGTTGGGAATGACGTTATTATAAGCTGTAGGATTGCCTTTCAGTTTTCCTTTTTAACCCATTAATCAGTTCCTTTTAAGCCGATTAAATATATTGATGGTTGTTAAGTTTCAAGAAGATCCGTAATTGTTCTTTAAAAAATTACTTATATATATATATGGATCATTGCACCACAAACCAACCATGGGCCCATGTGGTAAGTGTGAAACATATGGATCATTAACCATGGGCCATGGAGGATTAATCAAAGCCTATCACAGTGCTCCGAAGTTCATGTTCCAGTGAGTAGAACTTTAATTACTCCAGTGATGATCGAAAGAAAAGGAAAATCAAGCTTTTTTACATTATTATTTCATAAGCACAATTCTTGTAAGAAAGAATTATTATATAATAAAAATGAAACCAGTATCCAATAAATATAAAAATGACTAGAAGGACATACAAATCTTAATGAGAATGCACAAAAAAATAGTTCCTTTTTTCTTTAAGAAGATATACTCCCCTTTGATTATGTACAATGCAATGAAGATATATCTGCTGTGTCAATGAGTCACCGCTTTGTAAGCATCCCTTGTGTTAATGACGAGAAGTCATAATCTTTTCCCCATTGTGTTGGAGTAATTGAAGGAGCTGGCGATGCTGAGATAGGCCTACCTCCAATACTTTTCATGCTGATGGCTTGTGGAACTACTGGCCGCGGATTGTAAAAACTGCAGGTGCAACCAAATTAGTGACAAGTTAGATGAAAGTGATTACTTGTTGATCAAACAAAAAATGCATTTGAACAAAGTGCTTGTGAAACTCAGTCATCGTGTATCTGCATGCTTCCACACCTCTCTCGAGTTTTTATGTCTGTGTCGCTTGTATTGTGCTAATCAGATAATTGGCTTCAAATAAAACTCTTCATGCCAGGGTCGATGAAGGTATGAAACAGTATATTCAGTGTGCTGTGATCCAACCTTGATAAACTATGAATCTGGTGATTGGACTTTAGTTTCTTTTTTCTAGAAGGACCAGTTTGCTTTTAGATTTATAAAATTTTCAAGAACTAAAGCTAATAAAATTGATCAATTACAGGAAAGTTAGAAAGAAGCAAATTTTAGATGGTCAAGCTGAAATAATTTGTGTATACACCTGGAAGTAGGAAAATTAACTGAATTTCCCGCTGGATGCATCTGTTGGTTGCTTCCCATCTGGTAATGAAAACAACAAAATGATGAGATAGGATGAGAGATGAAGTTACAATCTGGAAATAGAACAATGGTGGAACTGGAAGCATGTTGCAAGCAAACCTGCATATGTTTCTGTAGACCAACGACTGGCATCACCATTCCAGGAACTTGGTGGCCAATGCTTCCGAAATTTGGAGCAGGAAAGTGCAAGCCATTGGAGTTGAATTGATGGGCTTTGGCAGGGAAGGCTTGGTATCCACCAATAGGCTTTGCAGCAGTACCCATGATAGACTGTTGTTGGGAAAGCATAGCAAGTTGTTGTTGATGGACAGAAAATGGAGACACCATACTTGACTGCAAAAAGTTCACAACTAAATGGTAAAAACATAGACCTCGAAACAAAAAATTACAAACAATCAAGCTTATAAGTGGTTAAAATATTTCAGCGGGAGAACATCAAACTCATGTTTGTATTAGTCATCAAAGAAAAAATCATTTAAATTTAAACAGTAAATCTCTACTTTCAAACTTCCTTGAATGGGCAGTGACTTGACATGGTACTCAACTATAAATTCCATGTTACTGATATAACTACAATGCTCAAGATAATGAAGATTCCAAGTTGAAATAATAATCAAATGAAGCTATTCTGTTACAAAAGCACCAAACAATATTCAATATACAGTTTCATATTTCAACCAAGAGACACCTTTACCTTCTCAAAGAGGTTCACAACATCATGTTTGATATCTCCAGGTGGTTTCTCTGAAAGCTTTTGTTTCACTGTTGCTGAATCTCTAAATAAATCCTCGGTTCCGCTTTCAAGTTGCACCATGCTTTGACTAAAGTTTAATGAATCACTTGCTTCCCTGGAGGATTTTTTTTCAGTAGCTGCAAAGTGATAGGGTGAAGATTAAAAGTAACACCAAATATAAAGTACTATATTTAACAACATTCTCAGCAAGAAACTATGAAGTGACAAGCTCAATGAAAAGGCTTTAAAAGTAGTAATAGTTGTATTGACAAGATTATTACGGCAAGAAACATACATGGAAAACCAGCCCAAGAATTATTATGAGCAGAAGTGTTGGAGTCATTTTCTCTAGAATCCCCCATGGAGAGCAAATTGAAAAGTTCAGTAGCATAATCGACTTTGGGTGATGCTACTGATGCAGTAGTATTAACATCCCGCTTTATTGATTCAGCCTTTGAGACTGAAGGAGTAGTCGTAACCTCCTGCTTTACAGATTCAGCCATTGAGGCTGATGATTTGGAATTCAGTAGAGGTTCTTGTGGTCTTGTATCAGGTGTAACCTACAGATCAAGCACACTTATTCATTTCTATGTCACATACATGTAATAAAGAAAAATACTTTAAAATGTTCATTTTGGGGTATAAATTTGAAATTTGTTTTCTTTCATGTTTTCTAGCACCTCCAAGGATATCAGCATTTCATAAGAGACCCCACTGTGTTATTTATATATTTTGAAAAGGTTCCACTTCCCATCTAAGCAACAAAACAGTTCCTATTGTATCAGGTTTTCACTTCCCATCTAAGCAATATAATCTAATAAAACAAAAAATTTATAACTTGCATCAACATTGAATCAAAGAATCATTGCTTTTAATATTCAAAATTTCAATGAACACCAAAAGAAAAAAGAAACATAAGGCAAACCAAACAAGTGTTTTCGTTTGCAACATACTATGAATTTCCTCTGTTTGATAGGCAGCAAAGTTAACAACACAGAGTTCTTACTGCACCAATAGGAAATGTATTCACTAACAATCAGTGTATAAGACCAAACGGAGACTGCTCTTACCTTCTGAGGAACATTTACAAGCACTTGCGAGCAACTTTTAGGAGTGGGAGTTCTGTTTATTTTAACAGGTGGGTGAGTAATTTTCTTCTCCTCAGGAACATGATTTACATTATTCACATACTTATAGCCACCACTTCTGGCTTCTATTCTCTGAAGTGATGCCTTCTCTTCACTCACACTCGAAGGTGACTTTGCCTTTCGACCCCTGCGAATCCATCTTTTTTCTACATATCTATTGAAGAAAATAAGCATCCTTAGGTAAAAGTTTAGGTACTAAAACTACTTCTGACAAAGCAATAGAAAAAAATCAAGCATAAAATTAAAAGTTTTAGAAGGGTAATTTGTACGAAGTTGTACTTTGCACGAATGAAATTCTCAATTCCAACTCTGTCATAATTGGGAGGCAACTCTGCTTCCCAGTAATTATTTGATTTTTCATTCCCCATGGCTGCAAGAAAGAAGAAAACAGTATTGCTATCATCACCTGATTTTGATATGCGATGGTAATCAAAGAAATAACTCTGGGGCATACATTGAGTAAAAGAAACCTGTTCTGGAAGCCATGTATCTAAAGTGGCAGACCTCACCTGCATAAGATCAAATATAATCTCCATAAACATGTTAAAAAGAAATTAAACTATAATTACAAAATATGAATCAATGACACCTATTGTCAGGAGTCAGGGGAAAAGAGAAGCAAACTTTATAACGAAACAACATAACAAAACCTTTGATATGTGTACTCCAAGACTTCTGTGAATCCCTGAACACTGCATGCAAATGAATATTCCTAGATTAACACTAGCCCATCGTGGTCCCCTGCATAGAAGACAAGCCATTATGCATCAGAGTCCAAGTCCTTTACAGTAACTCAGGCGCCTAGTTTTAAAATTCTATATTGTTCCTAATCTTACCATACAAAGACACAGTAAAACATTACTATGAGCTACAATGTTACCAGATACATACTTGCTTTTGCAGTCTGCACACTCTTTATTTTCAGGCAACTTAAGAAGGCCATCCAATATCTGCAGATGAGGACAGGTTAAATTCATATTGGTAGCATGTACACAAAAACTTGCAGGTCTAGTTTCAGGTCATCACATTCAAGGAACTTTAATGTCAACAAAATAGACTAAATTCGTTTCATATACGGTAGCAATGGGCATTGCCTGTCAAAGAAAGTTCAGATGAAGCTGAAATTGCAATTAGATGTATATTTCAACTGAGACAAAATTACTATTCTGCACGCAAACATACACATGCTTGCGCACCAAGGAAGCAGAAACTATATGTTTAGGAAATTTAATTGGCACTTGAGGTACAGTATATGGCAAACAATGTGAATCACATAAAAACAACACTAATGGAAGAGAACAATGCCACATGTTGTCTTTCCTATTTTACTAAATTCAAATAAATTTTACAAATTCGATAATAAATGGCCTAAGACATTTAAACTAACTGTAACATGTTAAATAGAAAATATTGCAACATCAAAGAGTAAAAGACCTAATATTGGCTGCACCATCTTCATGATTAGCTATAGAAAAACGTATCTATGTGGGCCTTAGTTTCAGACACCCTGGGATCACCAAACATAATTGACAGCTAAAATATAAAGGGCAATGCAACTTGCTTTATTGGAAAATAACTGGAAATCATATAAGACAAATACTTTAAAACTATTCCAAATTGGCCAATTAAGCTTAAGATTAATTAAATAAACACATATAAGGAAGCAAATATTGGTAGATAACATAATTTTAATCCGGGACAAAAGCTATTCCAAAATCACAGAAAGTTCAAATATTTCAAAACAACAATGATATCAGATTCTTCACTATGGCCTTGCTTTAGTGAGTTCATCAACAGAAGGGTAAAAAAAAAAAAAAAACTTGAAACCATTAAATTAGACGTAAAATGTTTAATCATCAAACATATCAAAATTCAGACTTTGCCAATAAGAAAAATAGAGTCTAGAGCAAAAGAAAACACTAAAGCTTAAATTGGTAATAAACAAAGACACAAAAAAAGTGAAAATACATAGAGAAAACCTTTCCGTGTTTGGCATTAAGTTGTTTAGAAACGTTAGCCTTCTGGTTCATGATGCTAACTGTCTCTCCCTTTGCTCGAAAGCTATCTTTTTTTTCCTCTCTCTCTCCGCAAAAAGCTGTCTTTTTTTGTCTGAAAAATCTTTATTTGAATCAGAGAAAACTCGAAAGGAGAAAGAAACAAACAAAGAAGGGATAAGAAGGAGAAGAGTCAAAAGGGAAATGAGAAATGGCAAAGCGGGTGTCTTTCTTTTGCTTTTGGTTTGTGTTTGCTTGACTTTCTTCTCTTCTGTACTCTTTGGTTTATTCTCTTTGGTTGGAGGCTGGCGTGTACACACTCGTCAAAGTGGGGCTCCCACTTTTGGTGGCCTTATTTTTCTAAGACCTTTTCCTTCCTGTTTTCTGTTTGGTTGCCTAGAAAGCGGAAGCCTATAAGATTCTCTTTACTGTTAAAAAGAAAAAAAGTTTTTTTAATTTCTCTTTTTGGGTTTTTCATTTTTTCTCTGTAGTAATAATAATTAATAACAAGATTTGTCTAAAATGGTAATTGATGTACCATACAATCTGAAATAATTCCCACTTCTAAGTTCTAACCTTAAAGTTACCTTTTTTAATCCATGAAATATTTGATTTTTCAAAAAATGTTAGAAGATATTTTCCAGCATGTCAACGTTTGGTTGTGTCTGATAACAGGTCAAACAAAAAAGTTATGTTTTGCAACTTCTAAAAATTTGATCATTTGAGATATTTCATTATTACCTTCTCTTTAATTCTTTTTTTTAATTTTAAGAACCCTACTTTTGTCACTATAAATTTTATGTAAAGAACTTTTCATCATAAATTTATGGGATTCTTAATCCTTACTCTTTATTATAACCTTCTTGAAAAAATATATATTTTATTTGCAATATAAATTATGAACCTCGTTTCAGTCTTTCTATGCATATATTTGTTGTTCTTTTATTTTATGACTTGAAAGTTGCTCGTTTGACCACTATGGGAAACAAACACAGGGCGGCAGAAAAGAAGCAAAGTCCCTCAAATTCATAGTCACTGGCCACAGCTTAACTCCAAGTTTCAAGCATTGTAAGCCTCGCTTAGTATCGTACATTCAGGCACTTTGTAGAATTCTTGTCATGCTTCTTTTGATTCAGACAATGGAAAACAAGACAAAACTTAAACATCTTACAAATGTTATATCTGTCTCCTCTTAATCCTATATTTTGCTCATGTTAGTAATCAAATTTTTATAAGCATTATCTTGCAAAGTTTACTTCCATATCCTTGTACCCCATTTTTTTCGTTATTTTAAAATTTTGCTGAATTGAATTATGGATATCAAGAAATCATTGTCACTGGCTGTTGTTTTAGTATCAGTTTTTGTGGTTTACTGCTTTGAAAGTGTACTATCTACCACAGTCACATATGATCATAGAGCACTGGTTATTGATGGCCAGAGGAGGGTGTTGCAATCGGGTTCTATCCATTATCCTAGAAGCACCCCAGAGGTTGGTTTTATGTCCATCTTAAATATGCATGCATTTGATGCTTGCTCTGTTTAGTGATAACATGGATTGAAATTTTCAGGTGTGGCCGGAACTTATTAGGAAATCCAAGGAAGGCGGATTGGACGTGATCGAGACTTATGTTTTCTGGAACTACCATGAACCAGTTAGAGGACAGGTATACAATAGCTTCAATGTTTGCTATTATTACTATTATCATCAATCTTGTTTGTGGTGAGTGGAGTAAGTTTCAAGGATTAAGGATGGTTAATAGGCTTAGAGTTTCCAGGAGTCAGCTGGTCTGGACTCTGAAGCATGTTGCCAAGTTAAATCTTTCATTTGGTTCTTTTTCTTTTAGTTTTTGAGATAGTTACTTTGAAATATTTTCTTTTTTTGGGCAGTACTACTTTGAAGGCAGGTTTGACCTGGTGAAGTTTGTGAAAACAGTGCAGGAAGCTGGCCTTCTGGTTCACTTGAGGATTGGGCCATATGCTTGTGCCGAATGGAATTATGGGTCTGTAATAGCATTTTAATTGTTGCCTTTTTTTTTTTTTTTTTTTGCTATGGTGTGTCTAATCTGTAATTAATAATTTGGACTTATCTTTGTCACCGTTTTTATTCCCACGGTGCTTACTCTACTCTATCTCCATAATAGTTGTCCAAAAAGAATCATTTTGTTTTGGTCCAAGATGAATATTAGCTCAAAGCGGTCATATGTAGGAAGAATTTCCTCTCTAGTTTAGGTGAAAGGATTTTTGAACTACTAAATTTTTTTTCATGGCAGTGGATTCCCTATTTGGTTACATTTCATTCCTGGAATTCAGTTCCGAACTACAAATGATTTGTTCAAGGTATTTTTCTTCTCTCTCTGTGCGTGTATGGGTAAACCATTCGAGGTAAATTTTGTCAAAATGGTTAGTTTTGGTAGTTCCCTACCTTATAGCAAGACTTTATTTGAATGATGATGCATACCAGTCCTTATCCACCTGATATCCTTGTGTAAGATAGGTGTTTTTCTGTTGTTGTCACCACAGAATGAAATGCTGCGTTTTCTCACCAAAATTGTAGGACTAATGAAGGAAGAGAATCTCTTTGCATCACAAGGAGGGCCAATCATTCTTGCTCAGGTGATTTACTATTTCTTTTCAATTCACAAGCTTTAGTCTACTTTATATTTTCTTCATATGTTTATTTTGGTGGTAATTTTTTCATTGTTTGGTAAAGCTCACCAATCAATAATCAAACAAGTCGATTCTGGACTGTCTAGTAGAACTCATGTCTCATATAATCATGTAACACTAACAGGTTGAAAATGAATATGAGCTTGTTGAATGGACATATGGGGTTGCAGGAGAATTATATGTCAAATGGGCTGCAGAAACTGCTGTCAGTCTTAATACAACAGTACCTTGGGTTATGTGCCGGCAACGAGATGCACCTGATCCAATAGTAAGTTAAGGTTTGCCTGATATATAGATGGTATATTATTGGTATCCTATATCCATTTCATATGGTTGATGAATTTCGACATTTATCATGCTAACATTAACATTTTGTATGATTTACACAACTTTTACTGGTGCAAAAAATATTGCTTTCTAACTAATTGCATTTGAAAAGTTAGCAGTTTAAACCAGTCTTCTATAATGAAAAGCTGCGTGCAGATAAACACATGCAATGGATTTTATTGTGATCAATTCACTCCAAATTCCCCATCGAAACCGAAAATGTGGACTGAGAACTACAGTGGATGGTAATTACCTCTTTCTTATCTGACAGAATTGTTTACTTCTGCCAAGTCATTGCAATCAATGGTAGTTATAGCAGTAAAGCAAACATCTTAAAACTTGACGGTGCAGGTTTAAATCATTTGGATATCCAATTCCTCATCGACCTGTTGAGGACCTTGCTTTTGCCATTGCACGTTTTTTTGAAACTGGTGGAACTTTTCACAACTACTAGATGGTGAGTTGTTAACTTGGTAAACATGTGAATCAATCTATAAGTATGTTAACAGTATGATTACGTTCTGTGGCCGAGCCCTGCAGTACTTCGGAGGAACCAATTTTGGGAGAACAGCTGGAGGTCCTCTTGTTGCAACAAGCTATGATTATGATGCCCCAATAGATGAATATGGTAAACTTTCTTTTGTTTGGTTCATGTAGCACTAATCTTTCCAAAAACATGACATTTCCCCTGGTGCCATGCCTCACCATTTTATATTAGCTGAACCGATTATATCTCCCATTTTAAAGTACAAAGTTGGAATGATAATGGACCATCTGCCAAAGAGGTTTGCTTATAGATATGATTATCCAATAAATCCTGTTTCATTTCAAACTACATTAGGAATACGATGTCGATGTTCATGCAGGTTTTATTAGACAGCCAAAATGGGGCCACCTACGTGACTTGCACTTGGCAGTAAAACACTGTGAGGAGTGTTTGATCAGCTCTGATCCAACTCACCAGCAGCTTGGTCATAATTTAGAGGTAATTTTAGCAGTTTCAACATGTTTCTCTCTCTATCTCTCTTTTACATGAGAAAATATGCATATAGCTATAAGCTCTGGTTACAGTCATGCAAATGAAGAGGTCAATAAATTTTTTGCACTCTCTACATATGATATGAGGTGCTATTGTAGGCTGACTAATAAGATACAAGCTCATTGAAGTATCTTGAAGCTGTAATAAGCTAAGACCATCCAATGGCATTCCAATTTTCCTTCTTGTAGTTGCCTCTCCTTTGTTTACAGTTTGTGCCTGAGGTATTTTAGATCAAAGCAGCCTTTTTGGTACAAAATATGCACATTCTTAAAACTTTTTTTTTCCAGTTTCATGCCATTTACATGTTCTTATCATTACTTGTTATCCATATCTGTATTAGTAATCATGTTAACATATTTTTGCCTTCTTCCTTTTCAAATTTTGAAGGCACATATCTACTATAAATCCTCCAATGCGTGTGCTGCTTTCCTTGCTAATTATGACGGCAATCTAGATGCAAATGTTACATTTAATGGAAATTTATACTGCCTTCCAGCTTGGTCCGTAAGCATCCTTCCAGACTGTAAGAATGTCATTTTTAACACAGCAAAGGTATTTCCTTTTATTTTCTTCTGGCAATTCGTTATTTATATGATTTATTGTAACACATATCTTCTCTGAGCTCATCATGGTAATCTTTTGGTTTCCAATAGCTTTGCGCTACTATGTCGTTAACCTTGTTCCTTGCAATGTTTTTCTTGATTGAAGGTTGTGACACACAGAAACTCTGATGAAAACCCATTTGCTCATAAAACTACTGTTAATAAGTTTCTATTATCAGCATCATCATGGAGCTGGTATGAGGAAAAGCCAGGTGTTTGGGGCAATAACTCCTTTACAGAGTCGCGTTTATTAGAGCAGATTAATACAACAAAGGACATTAGTGATTACCTATGGTACACAACAAGGTAAACTACTAATATTTGTTACTCTTTCTTCGTTATGAAGGTAGTCATATCCTTTCCAACTTTAATTTGTTGATGAAGCTAGAACTGCAAATAGACCATATTTAGTTGCTTATTGAAATTTGATTGAAACATTATATCATCATTTTTCGTCTATTTATTGTGTCAAAAAAATTTTTTTTTCTGATAGTTTGGTTCAGTTCAGTTTATTGACTATTTTTGATGGATTGGGGATGAGCCCCTTCTGCATGTTTTATGTGATGTTTTTATTTGAAATTAAGACAATGAGACTCCTAGAACTTTTAGATGATATTCTTATTAAATCAATGAACTTATTGTTTTTGTCCTTTCTATCAAGTACATGAACTGTTTAAAATGTTCAATTGAGCGCGTTTCATGTGGTGATAATGCTGCATTCTAAACCAGAAAATAAGCAGGAAGGAGAATAGGCATTTTTCTTGGAGCTGGCACTGAAGAATTAGAACCAAGTTTATAGGATAAAAGTTTACTTCCCAAGGATCTTAACACAAATAAACTCTGACATGCTATATTCATTGCATTAGATTGTTTGACATTTGTTTCTTACAATGCTTCATTGTATTGGCAGTATAAATATCATGTCTGATCAATCAAAAGAGGCGTTCTTGCTTATTGAAAGTTTGGGACATGCAGCACTTGTTTTTGTCAACAAAAGGCTTGTAGGTAAATACTGTAATTTTTGCCGTGAAATACTTTCTGCCTACTGTTATTATCATCAACTTCAGCATTAACATTCAATATTAAGAGTCAATAGTGTACCTAATTCCTGTTTTAACCTGTGAAAGTTCTAATCTTGATGATATACAAATTTTTCTTAAGGGTCTCTGTTCAAGATGTGACTGCGCTTTCAGCTACATCTTTAAGATTGAAAATTAATCAGCTTGTAGTTCAGTTTTAAACAAGATATATTTCTGTTGATTCTGCTCAGGAATCACCAGCTTCTTTAGGCATTTCTTTAATTGATATGAAACTCAGTGACTTTCTTTTCTCTGAAAACAACTTCTTTCTTCAAAGACCGTTCAATGGTGATAGAGATGGTCTCAGTGTGTTCTCAGACTTTCTGTTCTGTCATACTAAATTCACTCTTCCATCTAGCTCTGGTTGCTTTTTTTGGTTCATAAATTTAATATTTTCATTGTAACATAGCAAATTACTTGGGAGTACATAACTGTGATTAGATGCACTTTGCTCAATTCTATACATCAATTTTCCAGTTTGATTTACATGTCCGATCATAGTATACATCCTGACTTTTGTCCATCTCAATATGAAAGTTTTCGTTCTTATATTCATTTTTTTGAAGCTATCCTACGAAGAATGAGTTTATTGTCATAACAATATAACCTGGTGATGGTATAACCAAAAAGGGAAACCAAACGACTGGACAACAACTATGTTCAACTTTGTAGTTTGACTGCTGTAAAAACAAATTACAATCTTCTCATAAAATAAATTGCAGAAATTTATTTCTGTAATTCCATCATATTTCTCCCTTGAATTCATTTGATGTCATCATTCTAAATTCTTCAATGTTCTCATGCTGACCAACTTTGAAGCTGAATTCAAAAGTTTATGTGATGTTCCTTTTATCTTCTATGTTTTACAGCATTTGGATATGGGAATCATGATGATGCAAGCTTTTCAATAAACGAGAAAATTAGCCTTGTTGAGGGAAATAATACACTGGATGTGTTGAGCATGATGGTTGGTCTGCAGGTAAACAAAATTTCTTAAACTTATGACAAGTATGTTTACTCGTTCAGATACGGTATGTTCATTCTGTAAGGAGATTTGAGTACTGGAAAAAAGGAAAAATAAGATGTAGGCAAAGGAAGCATTTTCACATTTTATTGAAACAGTGGTTTGATAATTGTTCTAAAGATTCAGTTCCAGACCCTCTTTCCCGATTACTCTGCAACTCTTTGGAGAAATACTAAACCTGCAGGCATCTAGATTCTTATTAAGGTGTCTTTGGTATCAAGGACTAAGGGTTACTGACTTTTATTTGTTTATTACTTCTATATGCTTCAGAACTTTGGGCCATGGTTCGATGTTCAAGGGGCAGGAATTTTTGCTGTGGTTCTTGTTGACCCATGGAATGACAAATATGATGTTTCTCCTGGAGAATGGACATATCAGGTTAAAGTCTGCATATCAACAAAATTATCTGGGATATGTTGAATTATATATCCTGTGTTGTAAATTCAGAGGAATTTTGACTGCACAATAGTAAATTAATTTAGATGTATACCCTTGCTTTTTATCCAATCAGATCATGATCCATTTTCCTTCAGCATTTTCGAATTCATCACTGAAGAAGGTTTACACTTAAAACTACTTTCCAATCTTGCATATGATGTCTGAGGCTTGAGCAGCCAATGGGCGAAGGAATTATTTGTGTTCATTGTTAATGGAATTTCTAACCAGGATTCTAATGCTATGAATCACATTTGTCAGGTGGGACTTGAGGGAGAGTACCTTGGACTAGATAAAGTAAGTCTTGCAAATAGTTCGCTGTGGAAAAAGGGCAGTATTCCACCTGTTAACCAGACTTTGATATGGTACAAGGTAAGTCCTCTTCTTCAGTATCACACAATAAACTCTTTGTTAATGCAGTTATAAACTTTGGGTTATCGTCCCCTAATGCACTGGTGAAAGTTAGTTTACTTACTCAAGGTTGATTGTTAATAGCTGGTTGGAGCATTTGTAGTCTAATTTTCAGTTTCTTGTCCCAGGTTATTTTCCTTGCTCCTGAAGGAAAGGGTCCTTTAGCCTTGAATCTCACTTGCATGGGGAAGGGTCAAGCTTGGATCAATGGACAGAGCATAGGGCGATACTGGCCTGCCTATCTCTCACCATCTGAAGGTTGTAACAAGACTTGTGATTACAGAGGAGAATATGATCCCACAAAATGTCAAAAGAATTGTGGCCAGCCTGCTCAGACATTGTAAGGTTTTGAAACATTTGATTTTGATCCTAATACATGATTGTCAATCCTGAAGAATTAATCATGCTGTCCAGATATCATATCCCGCGCTCTTGGATACAACCTGGTGAGAACCTATTAGTCCTTCATGAAGAGCTTGGTGGTGACCCTACAAAGATTTCTGTGCTGACACGAACTGGCCAAGAGATCTGTTCATTTATATCTGAGAAAGATCCTCAGCCAGCTGATTCTTGGAAACCAAATTTAGGCTTCGTCCCTCAAAGTCCTGAAGCTCGACTGAGCTGTGAACAAGGATGGCGCATTACTTCAATTAACTTTGCCAGTTTTGGATCTCCACAAGGAAATTGTGGTGCATTTAGGACAGGGATTTGTCACAAAGACATACTATCAACGGTTCAGAAGGTAAGAAAAGACCTTTCCTTTCTCATATCAGGTTCAGGTACCTATTTGCCAGCAAATTTCTCAGTTGAGCCTATTGTGCATAAGAAAATCTGTCCGTTCTTGAACAAATTTCTTTGTCATCTTTGGTTGAATTTGTAGGCTTGCATTGGTCAGGAGAAGTGCTCGATACCCGTTTCCACAGCTAACCTTGGTGACCCTTGCGCTGGTGTGCTGAAAACCCTTGCAATTGAAGCTATATGCAGCGACTAAAAATCCAATTCTTATTGCAAGGATTTCTTTTTTTTTTCTTTTCTTCTATAAAGATTAATTTATGCAAAGGAACACATTAGAGGATGGCTCCTTTTTTTTAATCACAATACTGTTTATTTTGGCAAGCATTTATGCATTCAATATCAAAATTTCCATGACTCAGCCTAATGGGCTTTAACTTTTATACATAAAAAGAATAAAAAAAAAGAAACAAAAATCAAGACTGAAGATAAATTATTCTCAGACCAACAAAGCTGACAGAAATTTCTTACAGAAAGGATCTAAACCTATAATAAGCTGCAAGACTATCTCAGCATTCTTATGAAATGAGCAGTATTTTCCCAATGTGCTTGCCACTTTCCATAAGCCGGTGAGCTTCTGCTGCTTCTCCTAGTGGGAAGTGTTTATATACTACCGGCTTCACCTTACCTGAGATAATTGCAGGCCAAACATTCTTCCCCACCTCAGTAACAATTGCTGCTTTTTCTTCTGCACTTCTAGTTCGCAAGGCAGCCGCTGCATAACAAAGCAATGAAAGATATTATATCAGTTAAAAAGTTTTTCTGTACATTTCTCTGCTAAAAAATTGTATCTTTCTACTTTCATTGTCACACTACAAAATACAGAATAAAGCGTCTGGTGGCTTTTGTGCACATAATAATACCCTGGATTGTTAGCCGTTTTCCGAACATAGATCCAATATTTATTTGTGCGACAAATCCACTCAAGGAGCCAATGATAAAGAGCCTGCCATCAATATTTAAGCTGTCAAGGTTTTGCTGAAGGTAGGCTGCTCCAACAGAATCCAGAATAACATCAACGCCTGCCATAAATAAGGGAAAATTTTAGTTCCAAAATACTGGTCTTTTCAATGTTGAAGAACTCTAAGAAATTGATACAATTTCTACCTTTGCCTCCTGACTCTTCTTTTACCCTTGCTACAAAGTCCTCTGTCTTGTAATTGATGCAGACATCGGCTCCAAGATCCTTGCAAAAGGCTAATTTTTGCTCATTCCCTGGTGACCAAGATGTATATATAATAGATGAATACATGCAAACAAAATTTTATGCCGTATATATATGATCACAAGTGCAAATAAACCTGCTGTGACAAAAACTTTTGCTCCTCTGAACTTTGCAATCTGAATGGCAAATGTACCAATTCCACTGGAGCCCCCATGGATCTACACCAGATCAATTCTTAACATTATCAGTATAGATTATCATGCATCTGGGAAAAAAAGTAATCTAGGATAATGTTACCAGAAGTGTTTCACTGACGCATAGCCTACTCATCATAAAAACGGTTGACCAGACTGTGCAAGCTACCTCTGGGAGAGAGGCAGCATCTGACAATGTAACACCTGATGGAACAGGAAGAACTTGCCCCGCTGGAACAGCCACTTTCTCGGCATACCCTCCTCCGCTTAGAAGAGCACACACCTTTAATTAGCAATAAAAGTAAAATAAAACCATTAAAAGAGAAGCTCATGTTCAGGTAGTTGACTTTTGTATGCAAGGACACCTGTATGTATACGTATGTATAAACATATTTTCATACGTACATAGGTACACATATGCTTACAGATGAATTCACCTTATCTCCTACTTTCCAGCGAGAAACATTTTCTCCAATGGATTCAATGATGCCTGAGCACTCAAGACCTGGATAAGGGCTAGCACCTTGAGGTGGAGGGTAAAAGCCTTGTCTTTGATAGATGTCACCACGGTTCAGGGCTGCAGCCTCAACTTTGATTAGGACTTCATCATCTTTGATTTTGGGGTCTTCTACTTCTTGTAGCTGCAATACTTCTGGATCACCTGCACTTGTTATCACTACAGCCTTCATCACGGGATTTCGAGTCTTTTGGACAGCAACCGCTTGCTTGTATATTTTAGCTTATTGGTAGTGGCCGATGGAATTCTAAATTTTATATGGTTTATCTTCTTATGGTTGTCGGAGATGATGCATGTAACAAGTGATTCCAAAAGAATAGCTGCTTGAAAATTGTTTTTGTTTGGTAATAGAAAGTGATTGGTTCTTGTAATTTAGTATAAAAACAGCTTTGGCTTGCAACTTGTTTTTGTTTGGAACTGGCTAATTACTATTCTCCCCCATGCGTGCTTCACCAAAACCCTTATTCTGTTCCACAGTGCCAGAAAGATGCTGATGCATTTCCATCCTGATGATGAGTTTGCAGGGGAAATTAATAGCTTCCTATCGTCCTTCATAAATATCTGATGCTATTTGATTCTGTTATAAAACTTTCAAACAAAATATCCAATAAAAACAATGTGTACTCTATTCAAGAGAAGTTACTGAAAGTAAATGAAAGAAATTGATTGTACATTTTCAAAGGAATGCCCTGGCAATACGACTATCTCTAATGGTACCAGTGTCATTATGGCGTTTAACAGTGACTCGACTACTTCCTGCTTCTTTAGTGAGCCCTTTCTTCCTCATTATATCTCTCAAGTTATCAACAGAATCCCACCTTCCAATAGTGGCATAGAAATTTGAAAGCAGCACGTAATTCCCAGGCTTGTCTGGTTCTAATTCCAATAGATGTTTCGCAGCAAGCTCACCTCTAGCAATATCTTGATTAAGACTACAAGCGTTTAGCAATGCTATCCATATTACTGCTGTAGGCCTGGTACCATTCTTAATCATATCATCGAGAAGACACCATGCCTCATCTATTTGGCCAGCCCGACCTAGAACATCAATGAAGCAAGCATAATGTTCTTGATGCAGGTCAAGACCATACTTCTCCCTCATTAAATTAAAACACTTTTGGCCTTCTTCAACCAGCCCTGAATGCCCGCAAGCAGATAAAACAGCAAGAAATGTTACAGAATTGGGCATAACACCATTTCCTTTCACCTCCATCAGCTTGAATAGCTCAAGAGCTTCAAGCCCATATCCATGACTCCCATATGCATCTATCATACTCGTCCATGAAACCACACATTTGTGTAAAATCCCATCAAACAATGATCTTGCATTCAAAATCTTCCCGCACTTTGCATACATATCCAATATGACATTACATAATTGAGTATCATCAGTAAACCCAAACCGTAATGCCACACAATGAATTTGCTTTCCAACCCACAAATCCGAGTTTTCAGAGCAAGCTCCAAGAGCACTAGTAAGTGCAACTACATTGGGTCTCATTTTACTCATAATTGAAAATGCCTCTTTGTACTTTCGATTTTTGATGCAGCCTCTGATCAAAGAGTTGCACATTACACTGTCCATCATATTGTTCAAACTAGAGAAAACTTTCAGGGCTTCACTAATACGCTCAATATCTGAGTAAAAGTCGATAAGTGCAGTACCCAAAATCACCAAATCACGGCCAAACACAACAACCAAACCATGAATCTGCTTTCCTTGTTCAAAAGCCTTCAAAGAAGAACAAGCTTTTAGCACAGAACACAACGTAAACTCGCTATGGGGCACTTTTTCCCTTCTCATTGTTGCGAAAACATCAAGTGCTTTTTTAGCAAGACCATGCCTCAAAAAGCTTGAAATCAAAGCATTCCATGTCACAACATCCTTCAGTTCAATTTCTTCAAACGCCCTAGCTGAGTCATCCAAGCATCCATACTTTGAATAAAGGTTCATTAGTGCAGTTTTGGCTACTGTTCCCGCATCCACACCTGTTTTAACCATTAGTCCATGCACTTGCTTTCCATGTTTTGTGCCCGGCAACGCAGAGCATGCACTCAAAACTGGTGTAAAAGTATATGCGTTAAGGTCACAGCATGAAAAATGCATGTGACAAAAGAGAGCCCATGTTGCTTGAATGTCGCCATTCCGAAAATATGAGACAAGTTGACCATTAAATGAGTAGATATCTCGAAGGGGCAATTCTTTGAGGGAGCGGCGGATGTGGGCATATCGTTTCTGATGTTTTATTAACAAGACTTCGATTGAAGCAATAGCTTGAAGGTTTCTGGTTTGGTAACTAAGATAACGAATGCAACGATGAGACACAGACATAAATCTGTGAGACCAAAGGCCGCCTTGTCTGTGAAGCAGCAATTAAGGAGAAAAAAAAAATCAACCACAGTTTTTAAGAAGTTATAACAATAAATAAAAGAACAAAATTTGAAATTAAGATAAAGTTCTACAATCAAAATATTAAACTCAAGAACCAATGAACTTCCATTCGACACACAATTGTAGTTACAGCCACCAAAAAGTTATACAGCTCAACCCAAAGATACAAACTTTAATCTCACAGGAAAATGTTTAATTCCAATTTCTAAAACAAACCCAACAATCAAACACAAGAAACAGGATGAAAATTTTCCCTTCTTTTCTTATGAACCAACAACATGATATAGTGTCCAAATTTTATGAAACACTTAAGGTATGGATAACCAAAAGGTGAAAATGAATAAACAGCTTACCTTATAAAATCAGGATAACAACTCTATTTTCCTCTGTACTGACAAATGGTTGGCCGGGTCATAGGGGAAGGTGTTGTCTGCCTTCGTGGTTGGGTTGGATAAAGGCAACTCAACTGAACAAAGGGGTAGGAGAGGAGAGACATGATGGTTTGGCAACATGGATGCAGTTGTGCTGATCGGGTTTATTCTCACCCCAGCCGTCCAGAACCACCAATGCTATTGTCTTAACCTTTGGAAGCTTCGGTTGATCCTCCAACTAGCTCCCCATCTTTTTCTTTCTTTTCTACCGAACAGACAATAAAATCAATTAAGCGGAAGCTTTGAGAGAAGAACAACAGAGGATTGAACAGCAAAGCCTCAAGGACGAAAAAGAAAGCCCATTAACTAAGAGAGAAAATAGATAAAAGCTTGGAATACTGGGCCATATAAGCCCAAAAAAATCCATCAATACTGGGTCCAACCTCTAGAACCACAAGGATTTAATTCGTTAAAGGTTGGGTCCAGTTCAGCTACAATCAAGCCCCCAAACCCAAATGATTCAGTGATTAGATTATAGTATTTGTAAGCAGACAAGAGACCGGGGATTGACGATCGTAACGGGACTTCGGAGGAAAGATTTAAATGAAATTCATGAAATTTTTAATTAAAAATAATTAAATAAAAGTTAAAATTGATAGATTAAAAGGTTTTTTTATAAAAATTAAGTATGTAAAATTTGAAAAAATTTTAATAAATTTTGATATATATTTTTAGATAAATATTTTTAATAAAAATATTAATAAAATTTTTACCGTTAAATAAATATGAATCAAATTTGAATTATAAATAATATTTATAATTTTTTTTTATATATTATTAATTTTCATATTAAACTCGATTAATCTATTAATTTGAAATTTTTATTAAATCATTTTAAAAAATAAATTTCACAAACTTCGCTTCGTTTTCTTGCGACTTCGTAGGGGAGTTCCTTCAGTTTTTCCTTCATATTGATATATATATATATATATATATATATATATATATCTTGGTGCAAGGGAAGGAAAGTTGGGAATTGCAATCCCATCTTCTGTTTACGCTTGAAGCATTTAAAGATATCGAATCACATGATGGTACTGGTGAGTTTAATTCTGCCCGGTCGTGAGTCTCATAACTCGTTATCACCTTTTTTTTTTTTTTTCATAGATCATCCAAATCCTAGTATGGCTATAATATTCTCAAATTTGATGGACTCAGACCTGACTCAAATTACTGTCCCTATGATTCCATTTCATTTTTTTTGTTTAGGTGACAATGACAATTCAGTTTCACAATCAGCCCCAAGCTTCCCACCAGTTTCACCTCCATTATTGTCTCTTTCACATATCCAATCTGAAGTACAGACCCTTTCCTTCTCACATATCCAATCATTGTCTCTGCTCAGATATAGATATGGAAGGCAACTCAAGGACATACTTGCAAGGGCTTTTGGGTGGTTTTCCATCTACCGTACCTGATGCTGATTTTATACAAGCTGTAGACACTACTCTTTTTTTGGGCTTCGAACTGATGGTGTCGTTCTGAGGCTTCTTAACCAGACGTTACACACCACTCATGAAATGAAGCTCTCTATAAATAGAACAAATTCATACATGAAAATCATTCAAGCCTTGTATAGGGTGTTTGCTAATCAAACTCCAGAGAGAAAAAAAAATAAACTTTACAGAAAGTAGCAATCAAAACAAGTTACAGAGATATGTGCCAGGATCGAGAAATAGCAAGCTCTATGTGCTCCTTCCCTGGCAAAGTGCATATAGGACATGAGGTTAATGTATATCCCGTTGCCGCTAGCCTGCCCCATTACATGGCAGCTGCCGCAGCTCTTAGTGCAATCTCACGCTTCATCTCAGCAGCTTTACCACTTCCACGAAAATACACGTATACTTGCTGAAAAGCCAACAGCAAATGATGTTAGAAATCCCATACGCGCATGTGTATGTGGGCTTTGCAATGAATCAGGTTGGGGACTGAACGAACCTGGATAACCCAGATGCTTATAACTGATTCAACACAGAACAACCCAAAACCAATGAAGTAGAAGATCTACACAAACAAAAGAAATTTCACAGAAATGGTCAAGAGAAATCGAGAGAAATATCTTTCTCAACTTTTGGGCTAACATCAACTGCAATCGCAAAGTTCAAGACTTCAGCAGTACAAGAAACATCCCTTCTGTTCGCATCTATATCCCACTTAACACCGCAATGTAATACATTCATGCTACAGATTAAGCAAATGCTTAACTGTTTTAATGATAAATGTGATTGTGGGTATAAAACTTCTACTAGGTTTAAGCATATACTTACCCCGACCACAGCATTGCCACCAACAAGATCGACTGCAGGTAGGATCCCACTGTATGGGACAAAACAACCATAGTAAGAAATAAGAAGAAAAAGTTGAACTAGAATACCAATTTTGCATCTCAAATACTTGCAGTGCCTTTATGTTGCTCTCAGATAATAGCTGATCTATTATCTCATATTTGAAATAGAAGAATTCCAAAAAATAAAGTGCACTTTTTAGGAGGATAAGTGCATCACGTCTACTCTAATACATTGATATAGTTGCAAATAAAGACAGAGATGCAATTCCCATCACAACTTAATATAGATTGCCAAAGATAAGTTAAAAATAGTTTAGGAACACACGTGAGTGATTTCCCTTTAAAAACTATAGGGGGAGCCACCGCAGCGAAGATGGAAAAGCCGATGTGAAGCTAAAAACAGGAAGGAAAAGGATTAAAAGAATCAGTAACTGCCAACTCCTAGAGGGAAAAAAAAAACATATCTATCAGGAGAAACATGAGAGATTACCAAATAAAACAGGAAGAACCATCCAAACCTGAAAGCACTTTCATTCCTGCATGATAATCATAAGGTAAGAAAATAATTCAAATTAAAATAAGGGCATTAGCAAGTAAAAGGAATATGAACGGCTAGGTTTAAGAAACTAGCAAAAGAAGTTGGCATTGGTGCCAAGCCAACACTAAAAAAAAAAAAACTCTGCAATATTAAGAAAAAGTGTGGAGTTTATTAAATACCTAAAAGTACGATACAGCGGGCGATACCACAATACATAGGCTCCTGGGACCCCTGCTATGAAGTAGATGATAGCCAAAAACCAGATCCTCACACCTAAATAATAATAAATAATGTAAAACACAACATAATTTTAACATTATATCCAAAAGGAAAACAACAAATATGGAAGTACATCTCTAAACTAACCTTCCCCTCTGATCCATGCTGCAGTAACAGCTATGATGTTCCACAGAAGGCACAGAACCAATCCTGCATAGAATCACCATACATCACTTAACACCTGCCAGCCTTTTTCAACCAAAATGTTAAACAAAATAAAGCATGATACAAATAATCACCCAATGCAATCTTCAAAGAGTACAAATTCATGTAATGCAGCAAAAAATTTATTTTCGGCCAATAATATCAAACATTGAGCAATGCTTAGATTCACCAAGCATAGAACAAAAGAAAAAGAAAAAACAGTAGCAATAAGCCCTCAAAAAAAACTTACATACCTAAAAATGTTGAAAATGCAACATACTGCAATCTTTGTAGATGAATTGGTATATCATTTACAATATCATGATGAATGATAGGAAAAAATGGCGGCCAATTTTTCTCTTCCAGGACAATTCCAGCTGCAAAACAGAGAAGTAAAACTCTAGTTCATGGCAGAAATATAAGAGTAATTAACCATAAAAGGAAATAGAATCAGGTCAAAATATTTTGCAAAAGAAATGAGATGTAGATCAAATATTGAAACTAGGAATAAAACTAAATATGATCAGTGTGACTAGTCAAATTACAAAAAGAAAATGAAAGGTACCTCTTGCTGCTGCCTCTTCTTTCCGTCTCACTTCCTGCATAGAATAAGCTGATCAGTGAAAATTGTAGGGATGCAATGATTTATGAGGTGCCAAAGTGCAGTAAAAAAATAAAGATTTGCTATTTATTCATGAAACAGACATTCATAAATGAAAACTTGCTTCCTAAAACCATCCAAATAACGTAGAAAGCTAAATTACGCAGAACTAACACATATGATATCCCATTACGGCCTAAATGTTTCTTAATAGTAATTTGTAAGACAAGAATCATTGAGGTACATTTGGCTTTTCATTACATCAAAATCTAAATTTGCTAATAACATATCTTTGAGAGCAAATTGAGAGAATAAAAATAAATCCATGATTCTCTAGAATATAATCATGAATTTAAACTTATAAAATTTCCTCTATGACATACCTGCTCCCGCCTTCTCAGTTCAGCCTCCTTAGCCTGGAGTTCCTTCTCTTTCTTCTTCAAATCAGACATTTAAACAGTAAAAGCAAAACAGTGAGATTCAACGCTTAACCAAATTATGGAAATGGCATTTGGAGACAGGCCTTCACCAACCTGATAATGTGATCCTCCTGAAGCTGTATCAAGAGGGATGTCAATTGTTGCCTCACGATCATAATTAAAACCGGCAGGTTCAGGAGGTAGTGGTGAAAGTCTAGAGTTTGATGCAGGTGGAGCACTTGGAATATTCTGAAAATTTATTGATAATACGTGTTCAAGAAGCAAGTAATATAAGCAAATATTCCGGATGTTCAGAAGCAATACTAACAGGCCAAATTAAACATGACCAAATCACAACAAATATGGCAAGTAACATATTTTTTTCTTAATTAAATCATCCTAAACCTTGATCAAATGCAAGCTAACACATATATTACAAAGAGGCCCTAGTTAATCACTACCAATTTTACTTACTGAAATTCCTTGCAAATTAGCGAAATTTATGGAATTTCAGCATGCTCAAGGGATTAAAAAGTGGTAGTTTAGCAACAAATCACCTCAAGCTATGGTTTTACATAGCATCGGTGACTACTTAGTATCCATGTCTAAAAGATAAATTTAAAACCTAGACTTCCAAAACAGAGTTGATAACCAAAACAGAGGCACTCCCCACAGACACTCAGGGGATGAAAAACAACCAAAGCCATATGCAAAATTCCAGACCTTTCACCCATTACCTTATAAGATATATGTCCTAAAAGTACTATCATTTTAACTTCAACAACAAGTTTTGAATTAAACGTTCCCTTGAATCTTTATAAACAAGGATTTAGTTTACCGTTGAAAAAAGACCTCCACCAAATTTAGACTTGCCAGGTGCCTTCCCTCTCACTGCTGGATCCTGGTAGAAATTATTAAAAAATTCATATTAAAAACGAAGTTGCCTAGCATCCCTAAACTAATTATTGGCAGATAAATAAAGTTATAAAGCCTGAAAATGTATCATAGTCCGCATTACATGGACAAAAGGTTCATCTAAGTGCAAAAATGAAAACCATAAGAATTCCTCTTCTTCTTAACTGCCACAGCAGGAATTACACATTTGGAAGAATATAGGTTACTAAAAGGTACTTGACATGGCAAGTGGATTAACAAAAGAGTTAATACTAAAGAAAAGAAATAATTTCTCTCTGAGTATCATGCATATATATATGATTAAATAAAACACAGTGAAAACATTTTCCAAATCCCTTTCCTCAAAATTAATAATAATAGTAAAAAAAAGCATCAGCTTTAGCACTAGGAAAGTGATTACATTTGAAACAAATTGATGATCGATTTAACAATTGAACAAGCTTAAATGAATTTTGTACTGAATTTAATACATCTTCATTAACAACAAAAAATGATCACGAAATCAAATTAAAATCTCGAAGATATCACAAAATAAAAACAAGTCAACGGATAATCTATTACTAAACCTTCGAGCAAAGCCCTAGAATTTCAAAAATCTTCAATAAAAAGCAACAGAGCAACCATAATTGAACTTCAAAATTCAACTCCACCAAACATCACCAAATAACAGAAACAAACAAAGAGATAAACGAAAAAAAGAGAGAAAGACAGAGAAACCGACCGAGAAAGGATTAACTTCTTCTTCTTCTTCTTCAGCAAAGGGATTTTTATCGTAACGACCAGCCATCACCTTATAGTTTTTATCTCTAAAACCTGAAAATCTTATCAAAACCAGAGAACAAAAAAAAAAAAAAAAGGAGAAGCTTTTCGAAGAGCAAATTGAATTACTCAAGTTAAGAAGCCGACCTTTTCTAGAGAGAGAAACCTGCTTTCGCTGTTGACGTAAGAGAGAGAAGTTTGACTTTTCGTTACAGTCAACAGTTTGCACGAATTTGTTGAAATAATAAATTAAAACAGCGGGAAAATAGAAATAATCTTTTCCTTTTTCTTTTGGATAAATATATAAATTGATTTTTTTTTTTTTGAACGAGAGAGACCGATTTTCATATGCCTTGTTTGGGGTGAAATTCCTTTTTTAGGTCAACGCTAGTAAATTCACATTTAAAGCCGACCAAACTCTTTTATGTTAAAATGAATTAAATTAATTGATATAGAAGAATAAAATGCGACTTTAATTTATTAAATTATATTATATAAACTTAGGCATGAAATTTTGAACGTCGAGAAGGGTGGTTTTGTTGAAGTTGAATAACATGAAGAAGAAAAATAAATTAGAAAAATAAATTAAATTTAAGGACATTTGAAATTGAATAGTTGACTTGGTTACAAGAGGACAGCAACAAAAACAAAAACGTCATTGGCAACGTTGTTGTTCATTTGTTTTTCTTCTAGAATAATGTCCCTCTTCATGTCGATTTCAATATTAAATTTTTAATTTCAGTGATTAGGATTTAAAATCAACCAAAAGAGTTTTGTCTGAATGAAATATATGGCCAAGCTTAATTTCATCGTCATTCTTGAGAAAACTCATTACATTTCAATATGCTAATGTTTACAGTAAAATATATCAAAGAGGATTGGTCTTAATCTGCTGTTTTTAGTAGATGGCTAAGGATATAGCCATCGATGATCAGAATGAGGTTGCTTTGCTATCGTACTTTATTAGCTCCTTGCAGCCATTGCCGTTTCTCTTGCAGTACTACGTCTAGCCTCTGCAGCCCTACCACTGCCTCGGAAATACCGATACACTTTCTGTAAAAGATGGATAAACAATGATGTTAGAATATCCAAAATAATCAAATCATCAAAAGATGAATCAAAGATTAAAATGAAACCTGAAGGACCCAAATGCTTAACAGCGTCTCAGCACAGAATAATCCAAACCCAACGAAGTAGAAGATCTGTACAAAGCAAAGTTAAATCGACATGGTCAAGGTTTCAGCTTCGGTTTCAGCTTCGGCTTCAACATTACAAGCAATGTGTGTAACTTCAAGAGAAGAAATGAGATTGAGAGTCAGTAATCTTTACCCCAACAAAAGCATTCTGGGCTATAACCCACAATGCACTCAGGATTCCCCTGCAGCACCCCATAACAGAAGAGAAAGTTATAATCAAGATGTGGGGAAAATAAATTCAACCTTTCAACTCCAAAACTTGGTCTCTAGTTCATTGCATCAGCTAAGAGGAAAAAGAAATCATTGATCTGTTTTGGTTCACACCATCAAATCCACTGCATGCAAACCATTGATGTTGGCAAGTTAATATCAATGTTAAGGAACTTACGGGAGTGATAACCCTTGATTAAATATAGGAGGAGCAATCGCAGCAAAGATGCAGAAGCAGATATGTATCTGAAACCAGAAACTAGTTAGGAAGCTGCCAGCTCTAGGGGGAAAAAAGGTTCACCAGATAAATAGAATGCATTACCATATAAAATATGAAAAACCATCCGAACCTAAAAGTACTGTCTTTCCTGCAAGATGATCATAAATGATATGGTAGCAGAATGATAAGAACATTATTCAAAGTTAAAACAAAATGATTGAACAGGTTTTAGTACCTGCAAGCGCGATAAAGTGGACGCCACCACAATAGATAGGCTCCTGGTACCCCTAGCACAAAATAGATGATGGCAAGGAACCAGATCCCGATTCCTAGATGTAAAAGTTTTAAGATTCAACTCTCAGAATCTAAACAACAAATTATTATAATGGAAAAGGAAAAACAAGAAGATTTCTGATCCAACCTGCCCCTTTGAGGCTTGCTGCTGATACAGCTATGATATTCCAGAAAAGGCATAGGACCAATCCTGCACAAAATTACCATTCATCAGTTTATATGCATCCTAGGCATCGGTGCTATATTTACAATTCAAAACATTTGTTCAAGTAAAATCTGTGTAATAAGCAAATCTAAGCTATGAATTTAACAAGAAGCTAACGTACCTAAGTATGTAGAGAAAGCTGCATATTGCGTTCGTTGTAGATAATCTGGTATTTCATTTGCAATATCAAGGTGAATGATGGGAAAAAATGGAGGCCAATTTTTCACATCCAGAAAAACTCCAGCTGCAATACAGAAGAGGACCAATTATTAGTGCCAAGACCAGCAGCCGGGGCTGTTTTTAGGAATAATCACATTTCTTTTTTAATTGGCATTTCAATTTTGAGAATAAAATCAAACAGACTAATTCAGTTAACTTGAAGAAGCTCAAAATACCCAGAAGAGAAAGACCAATCAAAGTGTAATGGCAAATACAAAGTTACCTCTAGCGAGAGCTTCTTCTTTCTTTTTAATTTCCTGCATTCCCCCAAAAGAAGTTGATGAGTGAGAATTTTGAACAAGAGCAATGATTCACCAAATGCTCAAGGCCATTGCGTAAAATCTATATCTTGCAACTTATAAAGATCAAGATAATTCATGTTAATTAAGTAGTTAACGTGAAATAAGGTTCAGTTCAGTTAGTTCATACAATTACTTTAAAAAGTGCATCTCAAATTTTAGAACCGTAATCTCTTTTACTATTCTCAAGCTGCAAGCCTGTAGCCTCTTTTGTACAAAAAAAAGTAAAAGTCGTTTAGGTAATCCGAAGCTTTAGCATAGTCCAATATCATTAGTCCATGATAGTTTAGAATCTGCATTAATTCAAAGTTTTTTGAACACGTCTGTGAGGTATTACCTCCTCTCTCTTTCTGATTTCAGCTTCCTTGGCCAGGAGTTCTCTCTCTTTTTGCTTTAAATTCTACATCTCAAACAGGGTAAAATTTGATGTTCAGTTGAATGACATTGTATAAATAGGTAAGGGGTGGAGTTGCTTAAGCATATACAAACTCATCAGTTCCACGAGAATCAGAAAATTGTGACTTTACTTACCGTTGCTTTATCAAGAGTAATGTCAATGGCTGGATTGCGATCATAATTGTAGGTGGCAGGTTCAGGAGGTAGCACTGGGAGCTTTGAGTGTGAATAATGTGAAGGATTCTGGAAGTTTACCAATTATCCAATCTTGTTAGTGTAAAATTTTTGTTTGGAAGACCCCAAAACAACAAACAAAATTCAGATTTCAAGTTTACAACATAATCACCAAAACCACGCATGATATATAAGAAAACAAAAGATTGCTTTATTGTTCAAACTTTCCAATATATCCTTTAATTAGTAAACATAAAAACCCGAAAGCGAAAAACCCAGAATTTGCTCGATTGGTTCATGCAGCTGGCATCTAACAAGTCTCTTTCCCTATCTGCTGAAAAAAACAAACGCTAAAAGGAACAAAAAGCTATAGTATAGATGGCAATTCTTTAACGAAAATCAAGATTGAATTCAACTCAACTTCTGTAAGTACACAATAATATTTAGTGATTAAAAGACAACAACTTAATTATAGTCTGTAGTAACCTCCAACAACAAGGTCTCTTCAAGTGATCAATTAAGTCTAAACCATTATATATTGATTTTAGCATTCAATAACAGGATAAAAAAGTTGTCAGATCCAAAATTTGCTAAGCTTGGTAGATTACATATAAGTAAACGCATAGTATAGCTTTAATTTTGATTTTGATTCAGATTGTCTTGGAACTAGAGGCTTAAGAGTCCAATGAAAAATCAACGTGATGTAATGGTGCTTTGAGAATCCATTCCCACCGACCATTCAAATAAAGCGTACCATATATATAGACATCAAAGGAATAATCTTAGCTAGTTGTTTTGGTTATTGGTCTTTACATATCAACTAATTGAACTTTAAAGTTATATATATGTGTGTGTGTGCATGTATGCGCGTGTTTAAGTAGACATACAAAAATGTTCTATGGTTGGGAGAGATGAAACTCACAGAAAAAGGATTGACATCTTCTTCCTCCTCAAAAGGGTTCCGATCACGGTGACCAGCCATGAGTAGGGTTAAGTATTTCTACGGAGTCAGAAGAAACCTGAATGTAGAATACTAAGATGGTCTAAACATACAGAGTTTAATTGTATAAGAAGCAACCTGAGTTGCTCAAAAAATTGTAATGTATTTTCTTTGGTTCTACCAATGCGAAGGCAACATTTTCTTTGCCAAGGGAAGTGTTCTTATATACAGAGAAATGAACTGATTTGTCTTCGATCAAATGTAACATTCCGTTGAAGTAACAAATGAGAAGGACGGCAAGAAAGTAGATAACATAGGAATAATGCTTGGCTTTCATTTTTATTTTTTAAAGAAACGGATTGATCAAAGAAATATTTTGTTTTATAGCTTGTTTCATTGTTTCTGTTGGAGAGCGAATTGGAAATATTTGACATGCTATTTCAGAAGAAAACACATGTTGTAAGGATTAAGTTTCTTAACACATTTAACATTTTATTTGTTTAAAATTTATATGCTTAGCTACATAATTGAGATACCTTTATCAAAACAAAGCAGAGATAAATTTGTGTCTGAAAAGAATATGCACCTTCGATGATACTTACGTGAAATTTTATCTTATAAAAATGAAATGTTCCTTTAACACAGGGATGCAAGAATGGCAACCTTTGGTGATTCATTAACTAATCTACAGTTTGGGTTTTTATTTTCAATTTCAAATTTTGTTTTGCCTTACCTCCACAAGATTGGGAAAAGAAGAAAGTACAAAATGAAAAAAAAAAATTTCCTTTTATAGTCATTATCGGATATTAATTCAAGTGAAAAAAAAATATTTACCTATTTTTTATATGTGTGGAATTTGAATCTGTTAAAAAGATGTGAGAAGATAATTTTTTATAAATTCGTTAAATCCGATAAAAAAATGTACTAAAAGAAATTTAACAATCTCGTACCATTAACTAAAAAAAGCAAGACAAACTCGAAGAGCATAGAACATTGTTTTGGCCATCTTTCTCTTGTTCACTGTCTGGGTGAAAAGGACCACCAATCTTATAAAAGAATAAAAAATAAAAAAACCCAAGTTAACGTAATCGTATCATCTGTCTTTCCATGAAATTGAAGTACAAATACAG